CAGATTAAGAAACCTACCAGCGCGAGACCCTGAATTTCTTAACCCATGATTTCTTAACCATTTCGCGCGGTGTACAGCTTGCGATGGTGTGCCCCTCTAGTTCTCGCGCCTCCGATGTGCTGCCAGGTCGTCCGAATGGTCGTCAAGCGTGGCGTGTTGCCGCTTGTTTTAATCGATGGCAAGCGTGTGCGCTCCTTTTTTCCGTGACACCGCGATCAGCCGTTTGCCGATGGTGAATGGAGGAGTCGAGGGTGAGCAGGAGGGAGTGTGGCAGAAGAGCCGGAGCAGTCGGTCGGTGGAGTAGGCAGGGGACGGCCAGCCAGCGGGGGCGCTGTGTTGCGTGCCAGATTTTTGTTGCCAGCACTTCACGCGCGAGTCAGGCGTAGCGTGTTGTCGCTTGTTTGAATCGATGTCAAGCGTGTGCGCGCCTCGACTCCGTGGAACCGCGTTCGGCCGTCTCCGTTGCAGACGGTGGACGGAGCAGGTCAGAGTGAGCAGGAGGGATGCTTCGGAAAGAAATCATACATGTAAGAATTCATACATGAAATTGAAGACTGAATGATCCTGTGGTACTTCTTCAGGTAAGCTTCACAAGCTTACGATATCCAAAAAACGGCGCATAATGTTTCGCGGAGCCGATGGCGCCAAACTTTGCGTATTCTTGGTTTGTGTTTTGGGAAATCAATGTCCCGGTTGCCGAACAGTCCCCTTCGGCCCAGGGCCCCCAGGTTTTCTTTGGAGGCCTGGGCTGTAAGCGGGCGCGCGTGCAGCAAAGGTTTTGTCCATAGCCTTGCGTTACAGCCTGCTTCGAGTGCCCCCCATCCGCATCCTACTCATCCTTCCTCCCTCTACGCATGTCTGCCCTCTTCCATTTTCCATTTCATGCGTTTTGAATTGCCTTGCGGCGGATCCCCAGCCCATCCTAGAGTTGTCCGCTCGCTGCGGGTTCTCTCCGATGTCGCTTATGCGGTGACGTGGCCGCGCCTGCAGAGCGCATGTCGTTCCTTTTCCCTCCTCTCTGTCGAGGACTGTGTCCTCGACCTCTGCCTTTCTCATGGGAACACAGACCCAGGGTTGGCAGACCCGGGGGGCAACTTTCTTCTTACGCCCTTTAATGAGGCCTCTGGAACGGAGCTGGCCTGCCACGGCAGCTTTTTCGGTTCTGTTGCGATGCAATTGAGCTTCGCGCAAGCCGCGTGCAGCGAAGCGAGCCACGCCAGCGCCAGGCAAGCCGCGCTGCCGCCGCAGGACCTTTCCGACGCAGATTTTTCTGCATTGCAGGATTTTGTCTCTGCACTGCAGTTTTTCTGTTCTGAAGGATTTTTGCGGGACATCTGAAAATTTGCAATGCAGATTGTTGCTCCTGCATTGCAGTTTTTGTTTCTTGCACGTGTGGGTTCGTCCAGCCACGAGCCGCCCCTATGGGATATTTGGTACGGTGTGGAAATCATGTTGAGCATCTGGGCTGGGCGCATGACAGGGCCCTTGGGCGTCGGGGCTTGCGCGCCCGAAACAGCTGCAAAATGCAAGGCCCCAGCCCCTGGTCTGCCGACCCCCGGTCAAGGGAGCCTCGACTTTCCCACTTGCCTGTGACTCCTTTTGATCCGTGAGCCACTCCGCTCCGGATGCGCGCGCGGAGCTCCGCCCGTGCCTTTGCGTGCAGACATGGCGCCTGACTCCCTCTTCCTGGCGTTCCTCTGCCCTGCGCCTTTGGGCTGTGTCCAGATTGTTGGGTAGGTTTTCGAGGGCCGGTGACGTCACGATTCTCGCCGGCGGCGTCTGGGAACGCCTAGGAATTCGCCACCCGCCGAACGACCCCAACCCAACCCGAAGGCCTCAATTTTCCTTCCATTTCCAGTGTGGGGGGGGTCGGGGAACATTGAAAAAACACTTGGAACCCGTACCCCCCCCCCAACCCGGTATGCGGGTCAAATCCGGGTCTTCGGGTTGGGTTGGGGTGGTTTGGTAGGTAGTCAGGAATGACCGAGGACGGGTAGCAGCAGCATGTAGGTGGCGATCTGCGCCACAGCGCTTGTGTACACCACAGTGCTTGCGTGCACCACAGCGCCTGTGTACACCACAGCGCCCATATACACCACAGCAGCCGCGTGCAACACAACGCCAGTGTGTGTCACAGTGCCTGCGGGCACCACAGCGATTTTGTACACCACAGCGCCTGCGTACACCACACGGCATTGTGGTGCAACACAGCAAGTGTGTACACCACAATGCCTGCGTGCACTACAGCGCCTGTGTACACCACGGCGCCTGTGTGCACGACAGCAACCGTGTGCAACAGAGCACCACTGTTGCATGTATAGAAGGTTAGAACTAATCCCTTATGACAGAATGGAGCGCCTGGGGATTCCATTGAAACACTTTTGCTTGTATAGGTGTTTGGAACATTTCTTTTATATAGGTGCAATCGACCTACTCATCCTCCTGCTCCTGCTCCTCATCCTCCTCCCACCCTCCATCCCTCCTTCCCTCCCTCCCTCCCTCCTCCTCCTTCTCCGCCACCTCCTCCTCCTCCTCCTCCTCCTCCTCCTCCCTCCTCTCTCCTCTCTCCTCTCTCCCCATCTTCCTCTTCCTTCTCCTCCTCCTCCTCCACCTCCTCCTCCTCCCTCCTCTCTTCTCTCTCCTCTCCCCTCTCTCCTCCGCCTCCTCTCCCCTCTCTCTTCCGCCTCCTCCTCCTCATCATCATCCTCGAGGGGTTGCGACTGGGAAGACGACCACGAAGACGTAAGCAGTCCTCCTGAGGGGTGTGCGACGTACACGGAGCTCCAGGAGTCTGCGCACGTGGACGATCCCATTTTTTCCATGACGTCTGTTGGCGTCGTATCGTCGGCTTGATAGCGTTGGTGGTACTCTGCCGGCGGCGATAGGAACTCTGCGCTGAAACTTTTTGTCTTGGCCGCCACTTTTGGCCAGGATCGCGACTGTGTGCAAAATGACTCAGGTGGCTTACGCCATGCCGAAGGCCCCCAGAAGAGAGAGAGAGAGAGAGAGAGCCCGCGTCGCTAGTGGAAGAGGCTGCAGTTTGCCGGTGGGGGTACAGGTGGATCAGGATGAGGGGGAAGAGGGGGAGGAGGAGGAGAAGGAGGAGGAGGAGGAGGAGGAGGAGGAGGAGGAGGAGGAGGGGGAGGGGGAGGAGGAGAAGTAGGGGGAGGAGGAGAAGGAGGAGAGAAAAAGGAGCAGCAGGAGGAGGAGGAGGAGGAGGAGAGGGATGAGGAGGGGCAGGACGAGGATGAGAGAATTTGGGCAGGATGAGGATGCGGCCTGTCACAGCGCTGTTCGGGGGCTTCTTCGAAGCTTGCAGGGGGGCGCTCTGCTGGGACGAGGAGACGAGACTGAGAGGCAGGCGGAGGATGAGGCTTGTCACTGCGCTGCTTGCGGGCTTCTTCGAAGCTAGCAGGGGTGGTTTGTTGGGATGTTGCGCGGGGCCACTAGAGGGGTGGTTGGAGCTTTCCGGTGTGAGGGTCTCTTGGGATGCCTCTCAGTGGCCTTTTGGAGAGCTGTTGGGTGCATGGGGAGGGAGTAGGAGGAGGAGGAGGAGGAGGAGGAGGAGGAGGAGGAGGAGGATAATGATAATGATACTGATCATGATGATGAAAGAAGCGCAGGAGGGGGAGGAGGAGGAGGAGGAGGAGGTGGAGGAGAAAACATTGAGGGGCAGGACGACGAGAAGGTCTGTCACGGGGCTGTTCGGGGGCTTCCGGGAAGCTTTTTGATGCCTCTTGGGTTTTTTTGGGTGGGTTTTGGGGGACATTTTGGAGGCCTCTTGGGGATTGTTGGGGGCGCCTTTGGGGCCTCTGGGGGGTTTTGCCATCTAAGTCTTGAGGGGAAAGGCTCGAATTGTCAGTTCGTATTCCTTATCTTGAGTTTTTGTTGGTGCCCTCCTGGGACTCCCTTGGGCCGTCTTGAGGGTTCTTGGGCCCGTCTTAGGGCCCTCTTGGGCCGTCTTGGTGGTCTTTTGGGGGTGTCGTGTGCCGTCCGCAGATCCCTCGGGCCGCGGTGCACGCTGTGAAGACGAACAAGGCGAGTGCGTTAGAATTCGCCTGCCCAAAGGGCCAAGGGCGTGCTAGGATCCCCCGCAACTGGCGAACAATATTTCTAGCTCGCGCGCGCGAGGCCGCCCCTGGGAGTCCCCGGACGAGTAGTACCCCCGCAAGTCTCGGCCAACCCCCGGCCGGGTCCCGGGCCCCCCCCCCCCCCTCTTGCCCGGCCCCCCTGCTGGGCCTGCCAAAGAGACGGGGGTCGAGGCAAACAGGGGCCACCCAGAGCGCCAGATCCTGAGGGTCGTGCAGAGCCAGGGGTGCACTGACCTGGGCCAGCGCGCCGGACCCTGCAGGATCGATCTTGCGGATTCTGCAGTGCCCGACAGACCGGGGACCCGGGTCATTAGATCCCTGAACCAGACCGGGGTGTCCGCGGTTCGGTTGCGTTCGGTTCGTTCTGGTTTGGTCGGTTTCGCCGTGTCGTTGCTTCGTTGCTGCACCACTCGTGTTTGTGCGTTTAGGTCGGTTTTGGTTTCGCTGTCATTCTGGTCGGTCGTTGATTGTGTTGTTGCCGTGGACGTCCGTGGACCTTTCATATCTAACCCCTCCGCGTCACTATATTCCAGTCAGTCTTGCAAAATATGCATGACGTTGGAAACACAAGTGGGTACAGTAATTTGGTAACAACCAGACAACATGGTGTCACCGGGTACGTATCGTTTCGTAGCTTCTCTTTATCTTCCCACCTTCCGCACCCTCCTCTGACGCAAAGGAGGACGCGAAGCGTTTCTCTGAGAGGTGGTTTCCATCTCTCCACTCATTTTCGGTGCGTTTGCCTGTCGACCCTTGTGGTCCCTTACCTCTCGACCCGTATGGCGCCGTCCATCCATCCATACATCAATCTATCCTCAGTTTCCTCCTGTCCCTGCCCCATCCTCCTTCCTCCTCCTTCTCCTTCCTCTCCTTGTCCCTCCTCCTCCCCCTCCCTTCTCCCTCCGCCAGCGAGCCGTGCTCGCCGTGGGAGAACAGCAGCGCCACCTTCAGCGAGCACGTCGCATTCCGCGGCGAGTTCTCCGCGGAGGAGGCCCCCACTTGAGCCTCCTCCTCCTCGTCTATGTCCGTCCTTACTCCGCCTTCCCCGTTGCTCCTCCGCCACTCTGGTCTCATCCTCCCTTCTCCCTCCACATCCTTCCTCCCCCTTCGTTCTGTCTTCCTCCATCCTCCGTCCCTCTCTCTTCCCTCCCCTCCTCTTCCTCCGCCTCCTCCTCCTCCTCCTCCTCCTCCTCCTCCTCCTCCTCCTCCTCCTTCTCCTCCTCCTCCTCCTCCTCCCTCCGCCTCCCTCTCCATCCTCCGCCTTCGCCTCCTCCTCTCCTCCTCCCCCTCCTCCTCCTCCTCCTCCTCCTCCTCCTCCTCCTCCTCCCTCCTCCTCCTCCTCCTCCTCCTCCTCCTCTCTCCTCCCTCCTCCCCCTCCTCTATCCCCGCTGGCCTCCCCAATCCTGCTCTGACGACGACGACGTTGACGAGGAGGAGGAGGACACAGACGACGGACGACGTTGACGAAAGAGAGAACGAGGACGATGATGCACGACGGAGACGGACGATGTTGAGAATCGACGAACATGGCAAGGATAGCTACTCAGGAATGAAGAGGGCGATGAGGGTGGGGGGCGGCGTGGGACATGGCAGGGAAGGAGAGGAAGGACAAGGAATCTGACGCCTCAGCGTAGTGGCCGTTCCAGGGCTCGGCAGAGCAAGAGGACGAGTACCATCCGTGCTGCCCCTCGCAAGAAGACCCCGCCCACCTGGCGAGTGAAAAGGAGGGGGGGAGGAAGGCGAGGAGGATCTCGAGGAGGATCACGGAGCAGATCACGAGGAGGAGTTCGAGGACGAGGGGAGGAACATGAGGCTTACGAGGACGAGGAAGACGAGGAGGATCACGAGGCTTGTTAGATGCTAGGTGGCAGGTTTTGGGTGGCCTCCAGGAGGCCTGCCCCGAGTCCCGGGCGTGGGCTGGAAGGACCTGCGAGGATCTGGTGGGGATGCGCACCGCGATGCGGGATCACTACAGAGGAGGACGAGGGAGATGACTTGAGGTATTTTGGCTCCGGGCGCCTTAACCCCATGATGGTGGGCCCAGATCCCTGGTGTCACCACCTTGGAGGGCACGGTAGCCCGACGGAACAACATCCTCTGGTGTGCGGCGCCCCTTTGGATTAGTGGTCGTTTTTTATTTGTTGTTTTGCTGATCGGCGCGGGCCCTCGCCCCCCCCCCTCCCCCCCCCTGGAGAAGATCTTGGCTGTTTGGGGCGCCTGCTTCGAGCAGGTGGAGCTTCCCCAATAATGGACGCACTGCTGCAAAGAGTCGCACTAAGCAGAGGTCCAGAGCCAGAGCCCCCCCCTCCCCCCCCCCTTCCTCCCAATGTCGAAACGCCCGAAAAGAACGGTCACTTAATACACTTTCTGGTGTGCGGCGTGCCTTGGGTTAGTAATAAATCCTCTGGTGCGCTTGCACTGCGGGGCATTGTGGCACGTCTGTAGAGAGTGCTACCAGATCCGAGCTTCCGTATCGCAATGACTGCGCGGGCCCTGGAGATGCGGTAGCTCACGTTTTTATCTTTAAAATGCTGCGAACTATGCCGATGCTTACGCCTGTTCATCGACAGGGGTGGGCATCCCGCTCCCGCCTCACCAACGGGCCTCGTGGACGCACAGTGGCGCCGCAGTGGGGCCCTACCTCCCACTGCCGGCATTTCCGCCCGGCTGTGTCCTGGAGGTCAGTACCTCAGGTGTGCGAGTGTGGAGAGAGTGCACGGGAACGCCGGCATTGCCACCAGTCTGTGCCCTGGAGGTCCATGCCTCGTGAGTGGGGCATATGTTCAGGCCCGCCAGCCTAGTCACCAGGTTGTGACCTGAATGTGAGTACACTCGTGGAGGATAGACAAGACCGCCAGTTTTGCCGCCGGGCTGCGTCCTGGAGGTTGGTACCTCTGGAGTGCATGCGTGGACTGGAAGCAGGACCGCCAGCATTGCCGCTGGCTTGTGTCCTGGAGATCAGTACCTCCGGTGTGCGAGCGCGGAGAGAGTGCACAGGACCGCCGGCGTTGCCGCTGGTCTGTGTCCTGGAGGTTGATGCCTCGATAATCGGGTATATTTTCAGGCCCGCATGCCTAGTCACCAGGTCGCGACTTGAATGTGAATGCCTCTTGTGCGCACGTGTCGAGGGTAATTCAACAGGATCGCCAGCGTTGCCGCCAGGCTGCGTCCTGTAGGTCGGTACCTCAGGTGTGCGGGTGTGGAATGAAAGCAGGACCGCCGGCCTTGCCGCTGGGCAGTGTCCTTGAGGCCAGCACACTTGCTGGCCCCTTGCCACTGTCTCCCCGAGGCTCACTCCACTGGGGGCTCGGCTGGGGTGCTCGTCGGATGTGGCATCCCGCACCCTTAGTGGCGTCCCGCGCGTCCCCAACCGACTCCCCCAGAGGAGTATCGAGCAGCATTGGCACGGGGAGGGCAATGGGGAGGAGGAGGAGGAGGAGGAGGAGGAGGAGGACGAGGAGGAGGACGAGGAGGAGGAGAAGGAGGGGGAGGGAAGTAGTAGTAGTAGTAGGAGGAGGAGGAGGAGGAGGAGGAGGAGGAGGAGGAGGAGGAGGGGGGGAGTGAGGGAGGGGAAGTAGGAGGAGGGGAGGAGGACGAGGAGGAGGAGAAGGACGAGGACGAGGACGTAGAGGAGGAGGAGGGAGGAGGGAGGAGGGAGGATGGAGAAGGGGGGAGGAGGGAGGGGGGAGGGGGTGGAACAGGAAGAGAAGGGAGGAGGCGGGAGAGGAGGAGGAAGGGGGAGGGGGAGGAGGATGAGGGGGAGGGAGGAGCGGGGAGACGTAGAGGAGTGGCGAGGCAGGGAAGAGACCGCCGCCAGGCCTCCCAGGCGGGGTTCTTTTCCGCCCTCAAGCCGCCGCGGGTCGGCGAGGACGGCCTCGTCCTCGTCCTCTTTCTCCTCCGCAGTGTCGTCCTCCTCGTCCTGCTAATCCGCGAATTCGCTCTTCTCTCTCCCTCGCCATCCTCCGTGTCTTCCGCCTTGTCCTCCTCCTCCTCTTCCTGGCCCTCTTCGGCCTGATCCTCGTGATCCTCCTCCTTGTTCCCCCCGAGTTCTCCTTGTTCCTCCGCATCGCCCGTCTTCAGCAGCAGCCTTCTTTCCCTCCTCAGCCCTCCTTCATCCCCGGCCGACCACTACTCCGCCTCGTCTACCTCGGGGCCAGGAGGGAAAACGGGGGAGAGGAGGCGGAGGGAAAACGGGGGAGGGGGAGGGGAGGCGGGAGGAGGGGCCGAGGACCTGGCCCGCAGCGCCACAAGGATACTTGGGCCGATATTGGAAAGAGAAAAGTGTGTAGATATACAGAGAGAGAGAGAGAGAGACAGACAGACAGACAGACAGACAGACAGACAGACAGACAGACAGACAGACAGACAGACAGACAGACAGACAGACAGACAGACACACACACAGACAGACAGACAGACAGACAGACAGACAGGCAGGCAGGCAGACAGACAGACAGACAGACAGACAGACAGACAGACAGACAGACACACAGACACACAGACAGACACACAGACAGACAGACAGACAGAGACAGAGGGACAGTTGGACAGAGGGACAGAGAGACAGAGACACAGAAAGGCACAATAACAGAGAGACGAAGGGACAGAGAAAGAGAGAGAGAGAGAGAGAGAGAGCGGACGCACGGTTTCGGACAGTGCCAGTCTGGGGCGCCAGGGGTGCACGCTCCCCCCCCGCTCAGCTCGTTGACGGAGCAGCGGGGAGCCTCGCTCCCATGGCTGCCTCGCCCAGCCCGTTGACTGGCGCCACGTGTGCCCCCTCCCCCCTCGAGCTTGGCATCGCTCGGGCGCGCGAATTGTCTTCGGAGTCGCCGGCGCCAGAAAGTCTGAATCGTCTAGGAGCATCTTCGATCATCTGGACAGTGACGTTTCAGCGATGGCGAGTAAGGCGGCGGCGGGGGGGGGGGCAGGCCATGGCGCCGGCACGGAGGCAGCTTAGAGAGAGACAGGGGAGGGGGGCAATGAATGAGGAGAACAGGGATTTCTCTTGGATCTCGCATGCCTGATCCACTCAGCCGTGAGCGCGACGGCAGAGACGACGAAAACGAGCGTGCCGCCTGCCCCCAGGCCTGTCCTGGGCGACAGGGCGGAGACTCCTAAAGCGCACGCGGCCGAAACATCGACCACCGCTTGAACCGGGGGAAAGGGGGGCAGGGGTGCCAGGGGCGAGGAAAGCCCACGAAATTACTGAATGGATGCGTGCCCTTCTGCCCGCTCCCTTGCGCAATTTCTCAGTTTTCCTGCCGGTTGTCCCTGACCGCGTCCTTCTGCTCATCCTCCGCACCTTCCTCGCTTCTCCCCATCCTCCCCCCTGGTTTGCTCAGCGCTGCCCTCGTTCATCCTGCCCCCCTCACCTTCCGCCATCGCTCTTCGCACGATCTTGGTTGTCTCGCTTCCATTCGTGCCCCCTCAACTCCCCCGCGCGCCAGAGGACGTCGTCTGCTACCAGAGGGACAAGTGGCTGAGACGTGGCATCGTGAAGCGGGTCAAGGCCGAATGGCTGCCTCCGCCACCTCGTTTTCCTTCACTCGTTTTCCGGGGGGGGGGCACGTCGCGTCCCCCCCCGCTGCGGGTCGTCCTCACGGGTTGCCCCCTTTTTCCCGCCACCCTTCGCCACGTCCCTTCCAGTCCGCTTTCCGTTCTCCCATCCGTTTTTTTTTTCCACGTTCCCTCTTCCTTTTCGTCCTCCCACGATCATCCTTCCCCCGTCCCTTTCTATTGCGTTTATTCCCCCCCCCCCGTTCCACAGTTTTTGCAGAAAAATCCGCGTTCCATCCACCTCGCGTTGTGACCCTGCCTTACCATCCCCAATATCCAGTCCCTGTGTGTTCTACATCATCACGTCCATCTGCTCATCCACACCATACATCCTCGTTTCTCATTCATCATGTTTCTCTTCTTCGTTTGCCACATGATCTTGAGCGTTCGCATCAAAACGTTCCTGCATCGTCGTTCCTGGCGCAGGGGTAGCGAGGCATGGTGAGATCGGAACAGCGCCAGAGCAACCACAATGGTTTTTTTTTGGGGGGGAATTTGTCCTGATGTTCCTCCCCTTCATTCCCCTTCCCCTCCGTTTCCTCTCCATTGCCCTCGCCAGACCAGGCACGCATGATGTACATGATATGCTTGGACCCATGGCGCGCAGTCTCTGCTTCGAGACGCACGCGCGCAATGGGCCAGGATACTTCTGACGCTGAGTTCCCAAGAGGGGCACGCCAATTGAAACATAATAAGAACGTCGTGGCAAAGCGAACATGGGGCGTATGCGAGGGATTTTTCGTTTCGTAGTATTCCTTTTTGATCCCACGCAGTTTCCCCTCACGAGCACTTACAGGGGGGGCACATTCTTAGTGCACAAATCGATACAGGACGTCGTTACCGCAGATGTTCCACAATGCCCTCATCAATCCCCTTCTCTTTCGGCCTCTATCCTTCCCTTTTGTGGGAGTTGCGGGGTATTTGCTGTACGTGGTGACCATGCCTCCCTTCCTCCACCCCAGTTGCGTATAGAGTGTGCCCTTCGAGTACGTGGGGAGTGCAGCTACGCATCGAATGCATGATCCCCCTCTTGTGGAAGGCGCGTGACCTGGCACAACCCAAATCAACATCGCATGCGCACTCAAGCGTCCTATGTTCCGTACGCCGTCGTCTTCCGTACACGGTGTGCCCTTACGCACGCGCGAGGCAATTCTCCGAATCGGACGTGCATGTTGTTGGTGTGTAACATTCCCCCGCGTGTAGAGAAAGATGAACGCACCACTGAAAGACGGGTCAAGGCACAAAGTGAAACCAGGGGGTCGTTCGCTTCATCTTGGACCAATCCAAACATCTCCGCCTTCTCCTCCCCCTACAGTAGGCTCGTGCCGTGCCGACGCGACAGCTGTCCCTAGGCGGGAGTTCAAGGACGAACGCCACCAAAGACTCAGGTTCGGCCAACATGGATCGATCTGGCGATCGAGGAATCAGCCGATCGTTCAAGGCTGAACGACCTACACGTTGTTCGAAATCCACGGCGGGTTCGTCACGACGCGAACCTGCCGTACAGCCGGCCCGGATTAGTAGGTCGACCCTGCCAAATCAAGGGTGCCCTTTTGTCTTGTGTTTCGCGACCCGTGCCTCCTGCATTCCTACGGCGGTGTGGCTCTCGGAAGGGTCTTTTGTCCTCGCGTGTCTTGTCCAATGACGCCCGGGGGGAGGCAGCGGAGGGCCTCGGCCCGCGACAGGTCCGCACCGGGGACGGCACGGCGGGCCTGCAGCAGGGAGCCCAGGGCGCCTGGGTGTTGGTGAAGGACAAGGCCCTCCTCCTGCTCCTACTCCTCCTCCTCCTCCTCCTCCTCCTCCTCCTCCCCCTCCTCCCCCTCCTCCTCCCTCCTCCTTATCCTCCTCCTCCCTCCTCCTCCTCTCCTCCTCCTCCTCCTCCTCCTCCTCCTCCTCCTCCCCCTCCTCCTCCCCCTCCTCCTCTTCCTCCTCCTCCTCGTCCTCCTCCTCCTCCGCCTGGGTCGCGGTGTGGGGGCGCACGACGATGGTGACGCTTACGGGTGCAGTCAAGAGATTGAAATACTGTCAACCCGCACAGAACGGATGGGCAAGCCTCTCAAGGGTACCTTTGCATCCTTGCCTCTTCGGTCCATCCTTGGCCACTTTCGCTGGCCGCGCCCTGTCCGAAAAGCTTGGGAATGGGCGCCCAAGGCCCTTGCATCTTTATCGCGCATCCTTACTATACGGGTACTGTAATCCAGGCCGCATCGCCGATTCATCGGCGATGCGGCGCGATGTAGAGCGCGATGTCCTCCGTGCCGATGGCGCCGAAGCATCGCCGATGACGCCGCTGGGCTCATTGAGTCCAAGACTCTGGCAGGTTTGGCAGGACAAGGGCTTTTTTGTTCGGCTTGAGGGCTAGAGTTGAAGCACCTTGACAGGGAACCTAGCGCTCACATTGCTAGATCCGTTCCCTCCTCCGACGCTTCATGTCGCTAATGCACAAAAGTTGTTGAAACGTGTTCGTTGACAAAACAGTGTGCGAGGTTTACACGAGGCGCAGTCGGATAGCATTGTGTAGATCTGATCCCCAGCACCATGCGTTCTTTGCTATGATTGGCATGCTTACACAGAACATGTCGACAGCCGAAGCGGAAGCCTAGACAGGCGCAGCGAATCGATGATCAGCCATCGTCTTGCCATTTTGTAGGCACGATGCTGGTGAGCAATATTGATGTCACAGCCTGCTGGACAATATTTCTCAGCGCAGCAACATTTGGCGGCCAGGTGAAGTCAGGCTCTCTGGTGAGTTCCGTTGGCCACGGACCCTCTTAATGATCCATTAGTATGTCCGCTTCTTCACACTCCCTCCTGCTATCCTGCCACACTACCATTACCCTCTGGTTCCTCGCCCTCGTCATCTCTTCCCGCCTCTTGACTCGATATATTTTCCCAGTCGTTGTTGTGAGTTTGTTTTGAAGAGACAGCGTCCCTGCGTCACCTGCCTTCTCGCCCCCCTCCCTCCTCTCACCTTTGACCTGCGCGTGCCCCTGTTTCGGCACGCTTCGTGGCCCCATATGGATCTGCATCGAAGGCCCCTGCGGCAGCGTCCGCATGCGGTACCCGCACCCGATTCGGCACCCCCTTCACACAGTTCGCGGCCCCAATTGGAAGCTCCACCGGAAGGTTGCAACCCGCACCCGACTCGTCACACCCCTCACACGTCTCGTGGCCCCATAGAAAGATCCACCGAAGGCCCCAGCGGCCAGCCCGCATGGCGCACCCGCACCCGATTCGGCACACCCCTCACACGTTTCGTGTCCCCATGAGGAGCTCCACCGAAGGCCCCAACGGCAGCGTCCGCATGGCGCACACGCACGCGATCCGGAGCCCCCCTCACACGGTTCGTGGCCCCGTAGGGAGTTCCAGCGAGAACCCCATCGGCAGGGTCTGCATGGCACATCCCTCACACACTTCGTGGTCCCATATGGGAGCGCCACCCAAGGCCCCAGCGGCAAGGTCCGCATGGCGCACCCGCACCCAATTAGGCGCACCTCTCACACACTGCGAAAGCCCCAGTGGCAGCGCCCGCATAACGCACCCGCACCCAATCCGGCAAACCCCTCACACGTTTCGTGGCCCCACGAGGAACACAGAAAGCCTTTCGGCAGCGCCCGCATGGCGCACCCGCACCCAAGTTGGCACACCCTTCGCACGTTTCGTGGCCCCACAGGGAGCCCCACCGCAGACCCGAGCGGCAACGTCCGCATGGCGTACCCGCACCCAAGTCGGCACACCCGTCACACGTTTCGGGGCCCCGCATGGGATTCCATCGAAGGCCCCAGCGGCAGCGCCCGCATGGCGTAACCGCACCCAGTTCAGCACACCACTCGCACAGCATATTGGAGCTTCACCGAAGGCCCCAGCGGCAGCTTCCGCATGACGCACACGCACCCAACTCGGCACATCCTCGACACGCTTCGTGGCCTTATACTGGGGCTCTGCCGCAGGACCCAGCGGCCGAAGGCCTTCACGCGAATGCGGGACTCGCAGCTGCAGATTGTTGGGCCTTTTGCGCCAGGATGATTCTGCCCTGGCGTGTTGGTGTCGCTACCAAGGCCAATTTCCCCCACCTGCGGGCAGCGGTAACGATCGTACGTAAGGAAGGGGGGGAGTGGGGCCTGGACCACGTGCAGGTGCTCGCGCGAATATTCTGGCGATTGCAGTGCACCCCACCCCCGCCCCGACGTGCCCCACCCCGCTCCAGCGTTACTGTGTCCCCCGGGGCCCGCATCCGCCCCCGCCGGGCAACGACCGCCTCGAGAAGTAATACCAAAGAAACAGTCTTCTTCAGCTCCTTGCCTCTTCCGCCCTCCTCCATCCTCCGTCCTCTTGCCTTCGACGCGGCTGGCGTCTCCGGCGCCTCCCCTGGCGCGTGTCGCGCACGAGGGAGGGGGGCCCAGTGCCGATCCAGGGCGTCCGCGCGGAGCTCCGACCGTGTTTTTTTGATATGCAGCGGTCGGTCTTGTGGGGTGTGGCTCTCCCTTTCGCTCGGAAAATATACGCTCGGGGGTGGACAGAACCCCCAACAGTGACACGTCGATTAGTGAATTGTCCGTTTTCGGTTCTCGAGAGGGCGCCGCGGCCGTTATTTTCCAGGCTTGCGCCCGCCGGGTTTGGGCTCGACGTCGTTTTCACTAAACCACGTTTTACTAAAGGGGGGTCTGTCCATCCCCGATATACGCATGCATCCTTGAAGCTCCGAGCGGGCTTCGTGGATCGGCCGTGGAACACCCTGCACGGTGCAGGGTGCGCGCCCGGGCGGTTCCAGGGGCGCCGCCAGGGGGGTCAGCGCCGATCCCAGAAATGGGCGCGGAATTCCGACAGCTTATGTTCATGTTGGGCTTTCCTTCTCTACACCTTAGGCGATGCTTAAGAAAACCTAAGTTTTCGGCCAGAGTCTCGATTATTCTTAACGTTTCAATGTAAATCCTAATATTTGAATGGAAATTTTGGGTTTTTATTCAAGTTCTGAGACTATGAATTTCTTAACCCATGATTTCTAAAGCATTTCGCAGGGTGTAGTCCTCTTCCCTCAGCCCTCCATCCTCCCTTCCCCTCCAAGCCTGCCCTCATCACACGCCCCCGGAGGGCGCGTGGTTCTCGACGTTCTCGTGCTACGCCGTGTTCTTGGCCCCCGCGAACCACGTGCAGCGCACCTATTCCTCCGTCTGCGGCGAAGGCGATGGAGTGCGATATCTTAGTCTTTTTTCTCCTCCGCGTCCTCCTTGTCCTCCTCCTCCTCCTCCTCCTCCTCCGCCTCCTCCTCTTCTTCCTCCTCCACAATTACTCAATATGAATACTACTCTCCCTCTTCCCTTGATGACGGTTTGAAAGTGGCCGACCCCCCCCCCGCGTGTTGTTTTTTTTTGCAGGTTTCCCCGGAGTTGGGTTTTCGCCTGCACTTTTTTCAAAATGCTACTCTCGCTGAGGCGCCGGCCTCATTTTCGGGCCCCGCTTGTTCCGAATCGTGCTCTCGCTGCAGCGCTGGCCTCATTTCCGCGCTTCTGCTCGTTTCGACTCGTGCTCCCGCTGCAGCGCTGGCCTCATTTCCGCGCTTCCGCTCGTTTCGACTCGTCATCCCGCTGCAGCGCTGGCGTCATTTCCCGCGCCATGCCACGGCATGCAATGCAATGCTAGTTTCATACTACGCTTTGCGGTGTTCTTCTACGCCATGCCACGCCGTGCTTTACAATGCATCGCGTACCCTTTCGGGATCATTGCCTTGCTCGACATCCGACTGAGCGAGTAGAGGGGGGATCTGCGCCATGGGAAGGGATGGGAGGGAGGGGTAGGAGGTCAGATATGACGCGAGCGCACCTAGCTTGTTCTCCCCCTCTTCCTCCTCCTTCTCCTCCTCTTCCTCCTCCTCCCCCCTTCTTCATCCTCCCAAGCCGCCGCCCCGGTTCGAGAGGTTTCGGGCGCCGTACCAGGTACGGCGAACTTCTCGCGGGGCGGGCGGCTACGCGCGCTGGCCCGCGCCCATCGCGCCACGCCCGCGGCGCGTGGGCGGCCTGGCGCCGGCCGCGCCCGCAGCCCGCGCAGCCTGCCCGCTGGGCTTGGCGCGGCGCGCCGCGCCGAGCCAGCCTGGCATCGCCGGCAACGCCTTCGGCGCGATCGTTCGCGGACCCTCTCTGAGGGTCGCCCGCTACATCACAGCTCGGGGCCTGACGGCATGGCGGCGCAGGGCGGCAAAGGCCGCGGGCGCGGTGGAGCACGACACGCTTGCTTCGGCGGCGACCAGCGGGCGCCGTGGGTGCCACCGCCGCCGCCAGGCAGGTGGCGTGACCATTGTGAGCAGCTGAGCCCTCCCGGCACATTGCTGTGCCAGCACTGCTACCCTGGCCCGGTCGGCGGTGGCCCGCGAACCCGTGACCAGCAGCAGCAGCAGCAGCGGCCGCCACGACGGGCCAGATCGCTGCAGGACGAGCGGGCGGAGGTGCCCAGCAGGCGGCGCTCGGGCTCGCACCGCCGCCGCCGCGAGGCAGATGATCGCGATGGCCCATGACACCGCTCGACCTCACGAGTTCGCTTCGAAGACGAGCCGACGGCATCCGACGGCGACGACGACCTCAGGCAACCCGCCCTCGACATCCTTCCCGCGCTGCCCCAGGACGCGCGTGCTCACCCCTCGTGGGTCGAGCCGCCGTCCGACGCGGGCGACCGCGAGCTCGCCGCCTACCGCAAGACGTTGCGGGAGATGGCGGCGGCGACGGGCCGCAGATTCCAGGATGCGATCACCCTAGGCATGGACGAGGCGCGGCTGGCCCCTCAGCCTCAGAAGCTCGAGGCGCGGCCCAGCTGTGCATGATCATCATTGCGAGGGCCCCAGGTGATCGGTGTGACCGACAAAGGGCGCATGTCCAGCGCGCCCAGACGAAGCTGGACAAAGCCAAGGATGGTCGCGAGAAGGCCCACATCCACTACGAAAAGACCAACAGCAAGTGCTCTCAACGAGAGCGGGGGCTTGCCCGTGCACCGGTGCTGCTGGACCAACTAGAGGAGTTGCGGCCGCCGCCCAGCACGTCCGACGATGTCGGCATGGGCAGCAGTGCGTCGCCGACTCCACCCAGCAGATGGCGGCACTGCGACTTATACGGCGCCAGGGACGCCGCAGGGGACCCCCTAGCAGCAGTCGCAGCTTGCCGCCATCGCCGAGCTGCAGAGCGGACAGGCCGCCCTGACACAGCAGTTATGCTGGCGACGCTGCAGTCGGCAATGACGTCTGCGCGCCTGCGGCCGCCGCGGGCAGGGCGCCGCTGCCCTTCGCAGGCCAGCCGCAGTTGCTCGCGCCCGAGCAGGCGGGCCCCCCCCCCGCTGCAGGCGCGCCCGTCGGCGCAGAGGCGACAGCGGCAGGAGGTGCTCCAGCCCGTGACGTTCCCGCAGGCGCTGGCGACCCTGCTGCGGAGGAGCTGCGCAGACGCGCTGCTGAAGCTCGGCGGGCCGAGAAGGAGCAGGACCGCGCGCGCCGCCCTGCCGGCCAGCCTCGCCTCGCCGAGGCCCTCGCCCGCCAGCGGGCGGTCAGCCACCGCGGTCGCGGCGCCGAGCCTCCTGAGCCAGCGGGCCGCGCTCGCGTCGCAGAGGAAGTCGGCGACGAGGCGGCTGCGGCGGCCGCCAGGCGCACCAGGCGCAGCCGCGAGCGCAGCCCGAGGAGGCCCGGCGGCATCGAGGTGGTCGGCGGAGGCGAAGCTTGCGAGCCCACGGATGATGCATCGGCACCGTCGACGCTGGGGCGATGCTTCGCGACGAGCAAGCCGAGGTGGGTGAAATGCCAGCGCTATCTCACAGCTCGCCCGAGGCCGCCTGCACGGCCGACGCGAGTATGCCACCCTTTACTCAGAGTGCTTCTGTGCCTAGATGCCCTGTCTGCCCTTTGCCAGACCGCAGCTCTCTGGATGGGCGTCTTCGTCAGCCCTGGCCTAGCAGCCATGCTCTCACTCCACTCCCTTGGGCCCCATCAGGGCCCAGAGCGTTGCATTTTCAACTTTGCCCACGCAGTGGCGCGGTCAAGTTGTTCGAAGCCCACGGAGCCCCCGTTCCCGAGGATCTTCAGCCTGTCAGGTTCGAGATTCATACGGATGACTCTGGAGGTTCCCGTCCAAGGATGCAGGTGGACCACCGTCTTGGGCATGGGTGTTATTCTCAGTGACACGTATCGAACACGGTGCATGCCATAAGTATTTGAGTGGAATAGGTCCCACTCTCCCCGACGCAGTTGCCGGTGACTCTGGCGCCGCCGAAGTTCAAGCTACCCTGTGGCTTGTGCTATGGCTACTGCAAGCGCCAGAGCATCGCCCTCGACCACTGGTGGTCTTTACGGATAACCTCCTCGTGGTCAATTCGGCTGAGGGCGGAGCCAGATACAGTTCTTGTGGAGACCTCTCCGAGCTCTTCGATGGTGCCCTCAAGTTATTGAGACGATACGTACCACTATCTTGGAAGCACGTCCCGGGACACAATGCAGACCTGCTAAATGAGCTTGCAGATGCGATTGCACGACTAGCCCCCATGGGATTAGCACCAGTCGTGGAAGACGATTGGCGGCCGTGGTCAGCGCTGCAGTCTCGCGCCGCCGCCGCCCCATGGATGTGACCGGGGTACTCATGCGAGTGTTAAGAGGTGGGCAGGGGGAATCAAGCGGTGATACCGATAGGCGATTTAAGGTTTTGTGTAACAGCGGTCTCGTCCCGCGCAGCTGACGCACGCTCGGCCGCCGGCGGCCGAGCCGAGGGTCGATCCGCGAGCGGGCGCCCCGAGGGGAACTTGCGAAGCCCCCCCCCCGCAGCGGCTCTCGCCGAGGCGAGGCTGCCGCTACGCACCTGCGCTCGCTGCGAGCAGACCGCAGGTGTCGATTGGCGAGTTTTGAGGGGGGGGGGGGGGGGCAGTCAGTCGCGCTTGTGAGAGACGTGGCCCGCGCGTGCGCACAGAGAGCTACCTCTGCATTGTCAGCTGCTGGATGGGGCCCGTCGCTTGGGCCTTCAAGGTTTTGAGACACAACGCAGACCCGCTGCGCGATTTTGGCAGATTCCGTCGCGCGACGCGTCGCCGAGGGATCAGCTCAGACGGATTGGGAGGTTGTGTAGAATGAGATGGAGCGGCCGCCTGCCTGCTAAGATTTCGCCCGCAGCCTGTCTGCATGTGCCGCCATCCCTGTCTCTCGGCACGGTCTACACACCTCGCTGCCCCATTGAAAGATGGCAAGGGAGTTCAGGGTGCTGCAAGTGACAGCCCAGCCATGTTTGGCGCTGTGCAAAGTGGACATGTCCTGCGCAGCTGACGGCCGACATGGCGCTAGTGGCCGAGCCGAGGGTCGATCCGCGAGGGCAGGGGGCCACAGTTGGCGCGTCGAAAGGAACTCGCGAAGCCCCTTCCCCAACGCGGCTCTCGCCGAGGCAAGGTCGCCCCTTTTTGCGCCTGCTCATTTCGTGAGCAACCCGCGGTCGTCGAGTTTGCGAGTACAGGGTGGTGGTGGAGGTTTCCAGGATCGGGCGTGGGAGTCAGTGACGTTCTGTCAGGCAGAGGCCCGCGTGTATGGACGCGCGCGTCAGCTTTGCAATGTCAGCTGCATGAGCACTCAAGTGTTGTGAGACATAATGCGGTTTTGCCGTATGAGTTTGCAGATTCCACTGCGCGACTGGCTTCAAGGGATTAGCACCAGCCGTGGACGACGAATGGCAGCCGCGTTCACAGTTACAGTCTGGCGCCACAGTCCCCATCCCCGCGGCGATGGCCATAGGCCGACGCCAACGTGTCAGTGACGAATGGGGTAGAAGGGAGGGTTAAGAGAGAGATGCCGCCTGCCTCTCTTGCTCTTTTCCGCCCGCGTCCTGCCTGCTCAGCCGCCCGCCCCTTCTCTCGTCGCCGTCGCCATCGCCAGAGATGCGCGCCCCCGCTGTAATCTGCGCGCGCATCTCCACACCTGGGCCCGCGGGGGGCAGCCGTCAGGGGGCCCTGCGAGCGCAGTCTGTCGCTAAGCACACCCCTTGTGCGTGGCACCGGACCCAAGAGCGTGCTCCTGCGCGCGTCGCGGCTTGCCAGGTGCTCGTGCAACCGCTCACCGCGGCGCCAGCCAGCTTTGCATTTTGCATATGCGCAAGCAGTTATGGGGCAGCAGGGTGAGGGTCGAGGATGGAGGATGAATGGGTTGTCACGCAGAGTTGTCCCACCTTCTGTCCCCTCTGCGCGACGAGGCGCCGTTCTTTGGCAGAGCCAGGACCGCCTGCCGTGCCTGTCTGCTACCGCCGTTGCGACGTAGCGCTGACCACGGATTAGGTGCCTTCGAGCACCGTGCAGTGCCCCTTCGAGCACGGTTAGGGTGCCAAACACTACAGTTGTGGAGGAGGGGTGTGCGTACGTTGGGGTGGTGGTGAGGATTACTGCGCTGTACTCATTTACTTGATGCCCGCGCAGCTCTTTTCAGTCTGCTAGTTGCAGCGCCGCATTTCTCTGCCCCTCGCCAGGCGAAGCAGATGCGCAATTCCAAAAATCCGCACCCTCCCTCGTACTTTTCCGCCTAGCATCGATAAGGGTGATCTCTCACGTTCTAAGGGGCCGCCTGCTTTCATTTCAGAACTGCGGCATGCAAAACTCGTCGCGCACGCTATCCTGACGTTTGCGGCCAGTCGCTGGGTGGGGCGGTTACCAGCGACGCACCCTGGCGCGCACAGCAGCTGATTTGCACCCAGGTTGGCGGGCCTCTGGCGGCGGCAGCAGCCTGCGACGAGGAAAGGTTGCGGCGCGAGGAAGCCCGCCCTCCATCGCGCCCTGCCAGATCTGCTTCTGAGGCCTTCTCGCCCCCTGCGGGGCCCCACCTGGGTCCTTTTTAGGCCCCCGCGGGCCATTTGCGGTGGACGTCTGGCGCCTGGGTGCCTAGGACGCACGGGCGGGCCACGTCGACGAACGACGAACAACGACGACGACGACGACGACGACGACGACGACGACGACGACGACGGCGGACGCCGGACGACGAACGACCACGACGACGACGAACGACCACGACGACGACGACGACGAACGACGAACGACGAACGACGAACAGCGAATTATGACGACACATCGACGACGTCGAACGACGTATGACGAACGACGAACGACGAAAGACGAAGACGAACGATGCGACAACGACGACGACGAAGACGGCGGGAAAACGGCGACGACGACAACTGACGACGGACGACTGACGATGGACGACGACGACTGACGATGGACGACATGACGACGACGACGACGACGACGACGACGACGACGACGTCTCGCAGTCTCTCGGGGCGGGGTGGAGGCCGAGGGCGCTCGGGCACGGCTCGGCCAGCCGCCGCCGCGCCGCCAGCCGATCTGGCGGGCGGGGTGCCGGCGGCGGTCGGGCGGGTTTCACGGCGCGGCGAGGCGCGCGGCGAAGTCGGAGGGATATTGTTTTTTTTTCATACTCCGGCTCAGGCAGTGGCGAAGCGTCTTGGTTCGCCTATAGCCCTACCAATCTATGTTCTAAGAACTTTTTGTGGCTTCCACGAAATGTTCCTAGGACATGTATGGTTGAGATTGCCTTGTTTAGACACACCGGGCTTTCGTTCTAAATACCTTGGTCTAGTTGTTTAGACTATTGGTGGTTACCCGGTGACATTTAGGCTTTGTCGTGAGCTCCGTAGACCAAGGGCCTTCTTCATATTTGGTTCATTTCCTCCCCTGTAACGCTTCCACTCTTTCTCTTTCCTGCCACACTACCATCACCCTCTTGTTTCTCGCCCTCGTCACCTTCCCGCCTCCTCACTTGAGGCGCGTAACGGTCGTTACCTCTGTCAGCCCTTTTGCCTTCCCCCACGTAACGATCGCACGCGCGGGCCTGGGCCACACCCCACATTCTGGTGCTCGCGCGCATACGGAAGCGATTGCAGCGCACCCCCTCCCGGACGTCACCCACCCCGCCCAGGAGTGACAGCCACACGGGGCCCCAGACCCTACGCGCAGGGGTGACCCTGCGACGGAGCGAACTGCAGAGCGGGCGCGTGGGGGTGCCCCCAACGTTTGCTTGAAGCGCGGTTGGACCCGCCCACCCCACATTCGGCCCTCTGAAATCCAGGCCTCCTGAATGGGGCCGACGTGGTCGGAGGATCGCGACGCAACCGATGCATCGCCCATGCGGTTCGATGCCGATGTCGCCGACGCATCGCCGATGCACCTGCGATGCCGCGCGATCATTTGACCCATCTACTCGGACCACATGTTGGAAGGCCTAGTTACAGTGAAACCGCGCACCAAATGCTGCGGGCAAGACTTGTGTCCAAATCCACTGCAGCTTGGTTTTGCGGGCTCACTTCCCCAGAAGCCCGAGGCTTACTGGATATGGACAAACATTTGGCCTTACAGGCTCGGTGCTTATCCATACCCAGTGCGCCTCGGCCTTGCGGAGCTCTTTTCATGAAAGTCCGAGATGCACTGGACGTAGACAGAAAGGCTGCTCGCACTTGCCGCTCTTGCCCAGGGCCGCTCCCTTGCGTGCAGCCGACGGGAGCGGGCGCAGAGCAGCAGCAGCAGCAGCAGCGGCGGGGAAGAAGGACCGTGCGGGAGCCCTGCCGAGCACGCGTCTGTGGCCGAGCGTGGCCAGGCGAGCTCCGCTCGTCCAACTTCTGCACCCTCTACAGCGCCCACCGCTGCGCGGGCCTCTGCCGGCCGCCGGAGAAGACATCCCTCGCCGCTCTCTCTCTAGCCCGGTCTCGCTCTCTCCGTATTCCAAGCCCTGCCCTCACGTCATGCTTATGTGTCTCCCTTTCTCTCCATTTCTCTCTTGCCTTTCTTTGTGGGTGTTCTCTTCGTGTTGTTGTGTGTCTCTCTCTCTCTCTCTCTCTGTATTTCTCTCTCTCTCGCCCTCTCTCTCTCTTGTTTCTCTCTCTATATATAGAAATATGTATATCTCTCTCGATCTCTGTGATCTCTCTTTCTCTCCCTCCATGTGTACTTACATATATGTGGTACGTATGTGTTCATGCATGCACGCATGTATGTATGGTTATGTATATGTATGTGTAACTGTATGTATATGCATACATGTATGTGTGTATATGTCTATGTATGTGTGTACGTGTGTGTATGTATGTATGTATGTATGTATGTATGTATGTATGTATGTATGTATGTGTGTATGTGTGTCTGTATGTGTGTATGCATGTGTATGTATGTATGCATGCATGCATGCATGCATGAATGTATGCATGTATGTAGTATGTAGGTATGCATATAAGCAGGCATGTATGGGTGTATGCATGTATATAGGTATGCATGTATGCATGCATGTATGCATGTATGTGTGTATGTGTGTTTGTATGTATGCATTTATGTTTGCATGCATGCATGCATGTATGTATGGGTGTATGGGTGTGTGTATGTGTGTTTGCGTGGTTGCGTGTTTGTATGCATGTATGCATGTATGCATGTATGTATGTATGTATGCATGTATGTATGTATGTATGTATGCGTGTGTGTGCATGCGTATACATATAACGGCGCACCGGGTCCGGGGGCCCGGGGCCGGGACCCCGACCGCAAATGTGCACCCCGGGGGGCCCGGAGGCTCGTCGGGGCTTGCCGGAGGCCTCCCCAGTCAGACAAGACGGCCCAAGAAGCGCCCAAGACGGCCCAAGAAACTTCCAAGAGGCCTCCAAGAGGGCTCCGAGATGCTGAAGATGGCCTCCAGACGTCCAAGGACGCCCCCAAGAGGCCCCAAGAAGCCTCCAACATGCGTCCCAAGAGGGCCCCTAGACGCAAAAATTGGCCCATTCCCTTCGTAAAACGTACATTTTCAACAAAGTTGTCTTTTTGGGCTTTCCGACGTTACAGGACGGCCCAAGAGGCGCCCAAGACCGCCCCAAGACGGCCCAAGAAGCTTCCCAGAGGGCCCCAGGACAGCCCAAGAGGGCCCCAAGACGGCCCAAGAGGCGCCCAAGATGGCCCAAGAGGGCCCCAAGACGGGCCCAAGAGGGGGCCCAGAGGGGGACCACGAACCGCAAGCTCGAGCCTTCCGCCCCAAGAGGCCGCCAGGAGGCCCCCAGGAGGCCCCTCAAGAGGCCCCAGGAGACCCCAGACGTCCAAGGACGCCCCCAAGAGGCCCCAAGAAGCCTCCAACATGCGTCCCAAGAGGGCCCCTAGACGCAAGAATTGGCCCATTCCCTTCGTAAAACGTACATTTTCAACAAAGTCGCCTTTTGGGCTTTCCGACGTTACAGGACGGCCCAAGAGGCGCCCAAGACCGCCCCAAGACGGCCCAAGAAGCTTCCCAGAGGGCCCCAGGACAGCCCAAGAGGGCCCCAAGACGGCCCAAGAGGCGCCCAAGATGGCCCAAGAGGGCCCCAAGACGGGCCCAAGAGGGGGCCCAGAGGGGGACCACGAACCGCAAGCTCGAGCCTTCCGCCCCAAGAGGCCGCCAGGAGGCCCCCAGGAGGCCCCTCAAGAGGCCCCAGGAGACCCCAGACGTCCAAGGACGCCCCCAAGAGGCCCCAAGAAGCCTCCAACATGCGTCCCAAGAGGGCCCCTAGGCGCAAGAATTGGCCCATTCCCTTCGTAAAGCGTACATTTTCAACAAAGTTGTCTTTTGGGTTTTCCGACGTTACAGGACAGCCCAAGAGGGCCCCAAGACGGCCCAAGAGGCGCCCAAGATGGCCCAAGAGGGCCCCAAGACGGGCCCAAGAGGGGGCCCAGAGGGAACCCCACGTGGGCCCAAGGAGGCCCAAGAGGGACCCAAGAGAGCCCCAAGAGAGCCCCAACATCGGTCACGCGGAAGAGCTCTCGCGTGACCGATGTTGGGCCCCTCTGTCGGTCACGCGGAAGAGCTCTCGCGTGACCGATGTTGGGCCCCTCTGTGGGCTCCTCTTGGAGCTCCGAGAGGAGCCAAAGATGGCCCCACGAGGGCCCCGACGAGACCCCAAGAGGACCCAAGCAGGCCCAAGAGGGACCCAAGAGAGCCCCAGCATAGGTCACGCGGAAGAGCCCTCGCGTGACCGATGTTGAGCCCCTCTTTGGGCTCCTCTTGGAGCTCCAAGAGGGGCCCAAGATGGCCCCACGAGGGCCCCGAGGGAGCCCCACGTGGGCCCAAGGAGGCCCAAGGAACCCCAAGATGGCCCCAACATCGGTCACGCGGAAGAGCTCTCGCGTGACCGATGTTGGGCCCCCTCTTTGGGCTCCTCTTGGTGCTCCGAGAGGAGCCCAAGATGGCCCCACGAGGGCCCCGTCGAGACCCCAAGAGGGCCCAAGGAGGCCCAATAGGGCCCCAAGAGGGCCCCAACATCGGTCACGCGAAAGAGCTCTCGCGTGACCGATGTTGGGCCCCTCTGTGGGCTCCTCTTGGAGCTCCGAGAGGAGCCCAAGGTGGCCCCACGAGGGCCCCGACGAGCCCCAAGAGAGCCCAAGAGGGCCCCAAGAGCGCCCCAACATCTCCTCTCCTTCCTCCTCCTCCCTCCTCTGCATGTTCCTCCTCCTCCTCCTTCTCATCCTCCTCCTCCTCCTCCTCCTCCTCCTCCTCCTCTCCAGGGGAATGAAAACCAGAGGATAGCTCACGGAGAGCACAAGCACCCTCTTGTTGCATCCATCTTGGCTTCCAGATGGAGCCCAAGAAGGCCCCAAGGAGGCCCCTCAAGAGGCCCCAGGAGACCCCAGACGTCCAAGGACGCCCCCAAGACGCTTCGCGTCACCAATTTCTTCTCGCAACGATTCCTGGGTCTGTGACTCGACAGAACCTAAGCGCGCGCGAAGCGCGCGCGTGGTTCTAGTGTATATGTATGCATGTCTGTATGTGTGTATGTATGTATGTGTGTATGTATGTTTGTATGTATGTATGTATGTATGTATGTGTGTGTATGTATGTATGTATGTATGTATGTATGTATGTATGTATGTATGTATGTATGTATGTATGTATGTGTCGATGTATGCATCTATGTTTCTATATAGAATTCCATCCATATATATATATATATATATATATATATAGGCCGGGGGGGGCCGGGCGGGTGCCATATCCCCCCACGGCGGGGTCCCAGCTCCCGGGATTGCCTGGGCCTGCTCCCAAACACGCCACGACACGCCAAGAGGGCCCTAAAGTCTACCAAGACAGCCCCCAGAGGCCCCAGACACGCCGAAGATTGCCTCAGGACGGCCGACGACGCCGCCAAAACGCCCCAAGAGCGCCTCAAGAGGCCCTTCCAAGGGCCTCAGAAGCCGAAAATCATTAATTCCCCTATGGTTTTCGAAGCATTTTTGCGCTCTCCCATGTTCCGCCTCCCCACGGTCCCGGACGGCGTCAAAGGCTCTTCAGATCGCTGCAACACGGCCGAAGAGGCTCCCAAGAAAGTCCAGAGACGGCCCAGGAGGCACCCCAGATAATTCAAGAGAGCCTCGAGAGCGCCTCAAGAGAGCCCCAAGAGCGACCCAAGAAGGCCCGAAGAGCGCGACGACCTGAGCGGCTCCTAGGAAGCCTCCGGAGGCCATCCCAAGAAGCCCCGTGAGGCTCCCAAGAGGCCCCCCGGAAGCCTCAATAGGGCCCCGAAGGAGCCCCCAGGGAAGCCTCCTGCGGGCCCCCAAGACACCTCGGTAAATCGTATTTCCCAGATAGCTTTTTCCGGGAACATGATTCCTTGGGCTTCCGCGCACCGCCCGAACCATGCTTTTAATAATTTTGCCAACAAGGCCAAAAGGGGCCCCTCGGTAAGCCCCCAGAGGCCCCCCATCTTCAGAGAGCCGAACAAATCATGCTCCCGGAAAGTTTCCCAGGAACATGATGTTCGGGCTGCCGCCTCTGCCCAGAACATGTTCCATAAAAACCTTCCAGGAAAACAAAAACCGACAGTCCCAAGCAGCGCTACCTGCCGCCACGTGCGGAATTTCGTCAGGCGCCGAAGCCTCCGAAGGCGCCCAACGACACCCCAAGAAATCATTTTCCCAGGAAGCCTTCCGGGAGCATGATTCCTCAGGCTTCCGCCCCCGGCCGCAACCATGCGTTCCAAAATGCTTGCTGGGCAGCCCCCAAATGGGCCCTCATAAACGCCATCATGTTACCAGAGAGCTCTCCGATAACATGATTACTCAGGCTTCCGCTCCCCGCACACAACATCTGTCCCAAAGCGCATGTCAAGAAGGACTCGACTGGGCCCTCAAGTACTTTCCTAGGAGTCCCACAAGATGCTGATGATGACAATGATGATGACAAAGGTGAAGATGATGATGGTGCTGGTGATCGTGATGGTTGTGATGATGCTGACGACGATATCCGCGACCACGCTGAGGATGCTGAGGATGAGGATGTCTGATGCGGAGAATAGTGATGGTGTGGATGTTGATGTTCACGATGATGGTGATGATGCTGATGATGATGATGACGATGACGATGACGATGACGATGACGGTGGTGATGTTGCTGCTGATGATGATGCCGATGTTGGTGTGTGTGTATATGCAAACGTATATGCATATGCACATGTATAGGAATGTATAGATGGACGTTTATGTGTATCCGTATGTCTGTGAACATGTATGTGTGTGTGCATGCGTAGACATAATTATACGTATATGGTTACGTACATGTATCTGTATACTAATATGAGATGATGATGTTTATGTGTATGTGCAGAGTATGTGTATGTATATGTATATGTAGATGCCTGATCAGATGTATACGTATATGTATGTGTATAGGCGTGTGTGTATGTATGTGTATGTATATATGTGGTTGTGTATGTATCTGTATATGCACCTGCAGATGCGCCCATGCATGCAGGTATGCATGTATGCGTGCATGCATGATTGCATGCATGCCTGGATGTATGTATGCATACATATAAGTATACGTGTATGCATGTACGTACGTATGTGTGTATGCACGGATGCATGCATGTATTGTTGCATGGATGTTCGTATGTGTACAGAGTTAGACCCACGTATCTATACATATATATATATATACATATATGTATAACCATATTTGCATGTCTAATATCGGTGTATCTCTATGTCTACACCTATGTCTCTACATGTATGTATAAGTATGTGTATATATGTATGTATGTATGCATATATACGAATTTATGCTTATGGTCAAGCGTACGTGTGTATACGTATGTGTATATATACAGAATTGTATACACACACGTATTCCATATATATGTGTGTAGTTGTGTGTATATACATATATATATATAGATGCATGTACATAGATAAGTGTATATATGTATATTTATACACACACACACCTGGGCACCAGGCGGGGGGAGCCAGGACGGGGCCCTCGACAGTGCATGGGAGGTCCCGGGGTTCTGGGGGCTCTGCCGGGGCGCCGGGGGCTCTTTTAAATCGAGCGAAGACGGCCCCAGATCGCCAGGAATGGCGCTCCCAGAATGCGAAAACTACCAATGACGGCCCGAGAGTATCCCATAATTAGGACGTGACTGTCCAAGAGGCCCCCAAGACGCCCCAGGATGCCTCCAAGATGCCTCCCATGGAGCCCCAAGAGGCAACAATCATTGACTTCCAATGGTTTTATGAAGGATCTTCGAGTTCTCGCCTTTTCAGTTTCCAGACGCTCCACGACGGTCCAAGAGGCCCCAATGTCCGCTCCAAGACAGCCCCAGAGGCCTCGAATACGGCAACAAAACAGCCCAAGAGGGCCCCGAGACGTCCCCAAGACGGCGCCAGAGGCGCCCAAGACGGCCCGAGAGGGCACCAAGACGGTCCCAAGAGGGGCCAAGAGAGGTAACACGAAACGGAAAATCCGAGCCTTCCACCCCGAGAGGCTCTCAGGAGGCCCCGAGAAGCTCCCAAGAGTCCCCAAGAGGGCCCAAGAAGCTCACCAGGGGACCGAAGAGGTTCTACGAGGCCTCCCACGAAGGCCCCAAGAGGCAAAAATCATGTCTGGCCAACGGTTTTTGATTGATTTTCGAGGTTTCAGCCTTTGGGCATCGGCATCCCGACGCTCCAAGACGGGCCAAGAGGCCTTCAAGATCGCTCCAAAAGAGCCGAAGAGGCTTCCAACAGGGCCCCAAGACGGCCCACAGGGCCCCAAGACGGTGCCTCAGGCGCACGAGGCGGCCAAAGGAACAGTAGGTACTTTTGGGCTCCTCCTCCCGATCGCTTTTAGGCGCCTTCCTACTTCAATGATCGAGTGGGTGTCCCTGTTCCAGCCTCTTCCGGAAGCGGGCGTGGCTCCCGCGGCACCCCCCTCGGTTGCAGAGCCCCCCCTTTATCGGGCGGCGGCCCCAGTCGGGTTGTCTCATGGCCAGCCGACCTAGGTCGTTGCAAGTAGGTGCACGCCTGTCGTAGAAAAGTAGGCTTAAGTCTGGCATGTGGCATGCCCACATTCCTCCTGTAGAGGGACATGCCGCATGTCCCTCTACAGGGGGAGTGTTCAAAAACATGGAAAACATAGTTTGGGGACTAATGTTCGATGGTGTGTTGCCTATGTTTGAACATATGTTGACTATGTATCAATTTGTTCTCCCAAAACCAGCCTGTAGGAGGACGTGCCCGACCTGAATGTAGGTACCTTCCGATCTGCTTTGGGCGCCTTCCTGCTTCAATTATCGAGTGGGTGTACCTCTTCCTGCCTCATCGACTGGGCGTGGCTCCCGCGCCCCCCCCCCAGCTGCAGAGCCCCCCCTAGGGGGCGGCGGCCCTAGCCAGGCTCTCATGGCCAGTCGACCTGGGTTGTTGCAAGTAGGTGTATGCCAGTCGTAGAAAAGCAGATACCTTTCAGTAGCGAATCATGGGAGCCTGGTGCACCCTCGCAAAGCCGGCAGGATTTTATGGGAGGTTCCCATGAGTTGCCACCGAAGTATGGTTGGATCCTCTCATTCCAATCTACTTTAGGCGCCGTCCTACTTCAATGATCGAGTGGGTGTCCCTCTTCCTGCCTCTTCAGGGGGTGGGCGGAAGCCCAATCTAATTCCAACGCCTTCCTACCTCATGCTTCTACCCACCTCTTCTGACCGACGGGTAAACTGCCTCCCTACTTCAAGCAAACATACGTGTGTTGCTGTTGTTTGTGATTCTTAGGGCGGGCTCGAACCCAATCTACTTTATCCGCCTTCAGACGTCATGCTTCTACGTGCAGATCTGAGGCCACACCACCATTTCGGGAACCCCAGATGAGGAGGTGGAGGTGGAGGCGGAGGCGGGGGCGGACTTGAAGGAGGGGGAGGAGGAGTTGGAGGTGGAGGAAGAGGTTGTTCACGCCCAGGGCCGTCACGAGTGCGCGAAGGTTTCCGCGGCTCGCGATTCGCGAGTACTCGTCCTCATCGTCCTCGTCCTCCTCTTCTCCCCCAGACGGGGGGGGCGGCGCGAGAGCGCGAAGTCCTTCCGCGAAGCGCGCAGGCGCGCTTGCGGTTGCCCTTCGGATCCCGGCCCGCGCAGCAGGCCGCCGCCCTGCCACCGCAGAGGGGGCCCGTCCCAGCCCGGGCGCGCCCCGGGCGCCCCGCCCTGCCCAGCCCCGCCGCCGCCGAGGCGCCGACATCCTGCTCAACAGCGACTCCACGCCCGAGACCGGGGAGGCGATCGCTCCCCCGCGGGGAGCCATGAGACGGGGGTCGACGCAGAGCGGGGGTCCGCCAGAGCCCAGGGTCGCACCTGATCAGGGCTTGGGCGCAGGGTCCTGCAGGATCCTGGCCGGATCCTGCAGGATTGACCCGGGCTTGGGCGCAGGATCTCGCAGGGTGCTGCAAGGCCGGACTGGTCAGGAGATCCCCGACCCTGGCCCCCCATCCTCGAGGCCTCCCAGGTGGCATCAGAGGGCGCGCCGGTCGTTGAAAGAACGTGCTTCTGGATTCCCAGAGCCCAATCTGCTTCAAGTGCCTTCCTGCTTCAAGGATAGATCTGTTTTTGCTTTGTGTTGTGTCATTTTCTCGGAGGGGGGGCCTGGACCCAATCTATTTCATCCGCCTTCCTACTTCACGGTTTGACCTACTTCTTCTGGCTAATGTGTAGATTGGTCGGAGGATCGCGCCAGTCTCAAGGCCTCTCGGAGGCATGGCAGAAGCTATCTTGACCTATCTAGTGGAAGATTGTGCCATAGCAGAGGGCGTGTTGGGCCCATATTGGACGCTGCTATAGACTCTCCACCCCGTCCAGGATCAGGTGAGAGGGGACGCGGAGGGGGCAACCCCTCCCGAAGGGGAAGAAGAGGGATGGAAGACTGAACTCCCTAAACCAACTACGCCCAGAGGGCTGGTTTGACGAGGCAGCCTCGCTCTGCGTATCTTCCCTTCGGGCGAGGCCGGCGGGATGGAGTTTGCCTCGGCATGTGCGCGAAGCCTGACATGCCAAAGCCGCACCTGTGCTTGGATAGCGCGCGTCCGATAACCCCCAACAGAAGACGGACAAGATCTTCGGCACCATACTCTTACGTGCGATCTGCCAGTGGCCGCGCGTGCATGCCGAGACACTGCACCAGGTTGGTCGCACGTCTACAGTGACCCATGGCCACGCCATACAAGCGCCTTCATTGTCGAGGCTGCGATTGAGTCGATCCATACAGCGAGCGGCTCCCACACGGCCTCTCCACGAACATGGGCACCCTGCAGCGAGAGGCTCGGCGTTCTGTTTCGATAAGACGTGGTCTTGACGGCAAGATACCGTTGGTACGAGGAATGATGTCCAAATCCGCGAAGCGACAGCCACGCTGCTCTTACCCATGCATGGTCGTGCATTATGGCACTTTGTTCGTTCTACACATGTTTCGGGATCATTTTGTTGGTTCCGCACTTTGTTCAAATCCCCGTCATCTTGCCGCCACCTTCATCCCCATCGCTATCGTCGTAGTTATAATCATCGTCGTTATCATTTGTGCTCTTCTACAGCCAGGCACACAAACGCTTTCTTCACTGCCGAGCTGTTGCATGCATCCCTCTGTATACCATTCCTGGGCCACGAACGTCGAATTGCACAAGTCCGTTCGGCGAACATTTCCGCATACGTACATACTTCTCCCCCCTTCGACGCCATGGTGCAAAGGCACTCGCGGGCTCAAAGCCGGCTGGGCGCGCTGGTGATGGATTGCCATCTCCGCATTGAGGCGGCCGCCGAACGAGAACCAAGCAAGAGTGGAAGAGATGAAGCGAACGAGAACGGCTAAACCAGGCGTGCTCATACCCAGAACGCCGACGTCATGTTTTCCCGAAACAGTGTGCCTCTAAGGGTCATCTATATATATATATATATATGTCAGAGGAACGGAGTACGGGGATCGCCAGATCTGGAATCGGTGGTGCGCTTTGGTCTCCCGTGGGTCCAGTGTTGTCCCATGGTATCCCGTGGCCTCCCACCGACTTGCATCGTTAGTATTAGTATCAGGAGTACGATCAGCACTGTATCAGTATTCGTTGAGGGCACTCGCATTCGTAATCGAGTTCCTGTTCGTTGTACTCCTCTACGAACATCGTTGAGGTTAGGTCACTTTAGGTGTCTCCGTCGGGGCCCCTCATCTCTTGTCCATGCTCAAGACTGCTCATGGTATTCGACCTTCAGGGTGTACTTTTTACAATGTGGGCCCTCGTGAACGTGAGCCCCGGATATCTGAAAGAGCGTGTTCTACCGCTGCTGGCGGAAAACCGGGGGAGTCACTACCAGTTCGAACCCCTCCCTCCCCCCCCCCCTCCGGAAAACCGGGGGGGGTCACTACCAGTTCGAACCCCTCCCCCCCCCCCCAGTTCATCATGAAAAGGGGGGGGGTCACTACCGGTTCGAACCCCCCTCCCCCCCCCTCCTCGAACTCGAAAACCGGGGGGGGTCACTACCGGTTCGAACCCCCCCCCCTCGAAAACTGAGGGGGGGTGCGGACAGTGGTGGGGACGGTGGTGGTGGGGACAGTGGTGAGGGGACAGCGGGACAGTGGTGGGGACAGTGGGACAGTGGTGGGGACGGTAGTGGTGGGGACAATGGTGAGGACAATGGTGGGAACAGTGGGGACAGTGGGACAGTGGTGGGGACGGTGGTGGTGGGGGACAGTGGTGTGGGGACAGTGGGAATGTGGTGGAAACAGTAGGACAGTGGAGGGTACAGTGGTGGTGGGGACAGTGGTGAAGGCGGTGGCGAGGACGGCGGTGGGACAATGGGACAGAGGTACAGTGGGGACAGTGGTGGGGACAGTGGGGGGGACAGTGGTGGGAACAGTGGGACAGCTCAATGGTTCAAACCGGTAGTGACCCCCCCCTCCGGTTTTCGAGGGGGGGGGGAGGGGTTCGAACCGGTAGTGACCCCCCCCGGTTTTCGAGTTCGAGGGGGGGGGGGAGGGGTTAGGGGAGGGGGGGGTTTTGCTTGGGGAAGGGGGGGGAGGGGTTCCAGCAGGGTGGGGGGATTTTCGGAGGTGCGGGGGGGGACCCCCGGGTTCCGGAGGAAAAGGGCGGCAATTTTCCACGGTAAAGCGGCGGTGGATCACGCTCTCTCGGATATCTGGACCCTCACCTTTGGCACCAGTGGTTCGTCCCAGATGCTTGCTCCCCTGCTATAGCGTTTCGCTGAAGGGTTCCACGCGTGGTAAAACAAACAGATCGAAACATCCCACAGTGGGGGGGATGGAAGACCCTGGACCGCCCTGGTCCGGCAGCCGTTTCGCCAGATGGGCTTCCCCTCGATGGATTCAAGCATGGCGTTCTCGCCTCGCCGCTGGCTGCATGTCTGGGCCCGGGCGGCCACCACCCCGCGCAAACACATGCACCGAGGCACACGTGACCGTGCTCTCGCCCGAGTGCCCTCCATGTTTGGCCTCGGACGGCCACGGCCCCGGGCACAAGAGCAGACTGAGGTGCACCTGGCCGTGCTCTCACCCCCGTCCCAGCTGCAGCGCTTCCCCTCGGAACCCTTCCAGGGATACGTAGGACTGCACGCTCGGCCTCCTGCTCCTCGACCTGCCTCCTTGCCCTCCGTGCTGTTCGGGTGCCTTGCTGGGTCATCATTCTCCCAACAACGTGGACCCCCGACAGCGCGGACCCCTGGAGATGTGGACCCTTCTCCTAGGGACAAGTTTTTCGTATCGGCCCGTCGTTCGACGGTCCCGTAGGCCCCAGTGGCGCCCCCAGAGGCTGAACATCGCGCCCCTCCCCCGTCGTGATGAAACCCCCCGCTGTGATTGCGACGCTACTCGAGGAGGTCTGGGTCAGCACACGCCGCCGACGTGCGCGCCCCGAGGTGTCGGTGCAGGACGCGCGGGAGTCCTTGCAGAGGTGGCTGGACAACCTTGTGGACGCGCAGGGCCACAGGCCGCGGCCCTCCGCCGCGGCATCGTGGTCGGGGAGTGGGCGGAGGCCAGGGGGCAGGATGGCTCGGGGGAGGTGGATTGGGGGAAGGGGGGGGGGCGGGCAGGAGGTGGAGGTGGGGAAGGGGGAGCAGGAGGAGGAGGAGGAGTGCCCAGTACGCTATAGGCTTTGAGGGCACCTAGAACCCATCTTTAAGGATGAGGCGACCATCAGAACCCTGGTCAGGGTGGTTGCGGTTTCCACTCACCCGCTGCCCAAAGCAGCATGCCCATGCAGAAAGGGAGTTGCAAGGGCTCTAGGAGGTCTCATGCTTCAAGTCTTGAGTATGGCAGAAACCAGCCCTTTGAGTCAAATGGTTTCCGGGGATCTTAACGCATGGGGGATGAGTGTTATGAATGGGCGAGGTGGCCACTAACGTGGTACGTCCCCCACGATCTCCCCCCTCATCTCAGGGGGGCGGGGGGCACCGCGCTCTCGGCGGCGAACAAAATATGATCCTTCCCGCGTCGGTCTTGGATCCCCCGGCCGGCGCCCGTGGAGTCTTCCACAGGCACGGCCAGAAAGCAGCCCCGCCCCGCAGATGCAACGCAGGTAGCAGACGCACGAGAACGGGAGGGGACGGGAGAGGCGGCCGCCCATGCGGACGTCGTGCCGCCGACGCATTTGTACCGTTTATGGCCCATAAAGTTGCAATCATTCTTGAACCGGCATTGCAGCAGGGACGCGCATCAAGTATCGACGGATTTTCTTCAAGGTGCCCTGGGTCTCGTTGCTCCGCGCGCGTTGCGGTGACTTCCCGCGGCCGTTGCGAAGACGTTGCTGCGTTGAGGGTGCGTTGGGTCCCGCCCCCACTTGCATCCCGCGCGGGTTTCCAGGGCCTGGCGTCTTGCGAGGGTGTCTGGCGGCCGCGTCCACACTGCACTCTGTTCGGATATAGCCAGGCCCCCAGGGAAGGGGACCCAGTTCGTAGTAGGGCCCCGGAGCCCCTACATGGGCCAGAATCACCAAATCAGGTCTGCCGTAGCCAGTGTTTTTTCCGGGTGGCGGCAATTCCGGTGAGTGGAACGGGGGGCGGGGGGGGTCCCCCAGCAATCCCATCAAGCCCAGTCCTGCCAACGCCCGATCCGTGGCCACCGTCGCCGTGGCTTCTCGTCAGGCAGCGGGTGCTCCCCGAGCTCAAGGCCGAGCTGCTGCGGGTGTGGGACGACGCCGCCGAGGACGGGCGCCGCCCTCGGGGCGCAGCTCGGGGCACCCCGAGGGCGCGTCCTCTGTCCGAGCCCCGCGGGGCCCCATCTCCCTCACCCCTCCTCCAGGAAGGAGGGAGGCAGGGGGGCAACGAGGGTGCGAGGGAGCGAGGGAACGAGGAAGCGCAGGAGGAGGAGGAGGAGGAGGAGGAGGAGCAAGAGGAGGAGGAGGAAGAGGAGAGGGAGGAGGAGGAGGAGGAGGAGGAGGAGGAGGAGGAGGACGAGGACGAGGAGGAGGAGGAGGAGGAGGAGGAGGAGGAGGAGGTGGAGGAGCAAGAGGAGGAGGAGGAGGAGGAGAGGGAGGAGGAGGAGGAGGAAGAGGGGAGGAGGAGCAAGAGGAGGAGGAGGAGGAGAGGGAGGAGGAGGAGGAGGAGGAGGAGGAGGAGGAGGAGGAGGAGGAGGAGGAAGAGGAGGAGGAGGAGCAAGAGGAGGAGGAGGAGGAGGAGGAGGAGGAAGGCCCTGCAGGCGCCCTGCACGAAGCCAGCGGCGCATGGCCAACGAGCCTTCCTCCTTCCTGGAGTGTCTGAGAAGATTTCTGCGATAGCCGCGGCGATCCCGATTGCGTGATCGAGGTGGTGACCTTTGTGGCGCAGGGACGGGCTCATGGTCAGGTCGATCTCCAGGCCCTTCCTACCATCGTCGGGCGAGCGGGGATGTTGCGGTGGGTGGCGGCGCCAGCAATGGCGGACTATACCGCGCAGAGGCGGATCCGCGTCGGCAGGGCCATCAGCGAGCTTTGGGCGCCGTCCGGTGGCATGCTGCCCGGGTGCCTCCTGGCCGTCTTCCTCTTCAGCGTGGTCACGTGGCCGTGGCAGCGCCGCGCCAGAGCGAGGTTGCACGTCGACGGTTTCGGTCTTTGGGCCCCCGGCCCAGACAGATGGCAGCCGAGGTCGGCGAGGCGGTGCGCGAGGCGTTTCGGCCGACGTCGTCGTTCCAGGCGGCAATGGAATGGCTCCCCGACAGGGACAAGAGCCGTCATTTCGCGAAGTCTGCCGGGCTCCGGTGTTGGCTCCAACGACCTCGGCGTGGCGTCCACCGCGGGACGCGCGCGCCGCTACGCCGATACTGGTGCGTGAGCTCTGGCAGGGGCGGGGCGTTTCTCCTGCATTGCTCGGCTGCCGGTGGACTTCTGGCAAAAAGTCTTCCCTCCTGGGCGGCTGGAGGCTGGCGGCCGCAGGACCGCCCGCTGCAGCACACCCCAGCGGCGCTGCTGGACAAGTGGGCGCATGGGCGCGGCCCGAGGGCAGCGCGGTGGCTGGGCGGCGTGCCGACCTTGGGCACCTCGTTGGCGGCATCATCGACCGCTTGACCACCAGGCGGTTGCTGGAGTGCGGAGACGGTGGCAGCGAAGTTGGGCAGGCCCACGTGTGGCTCGCACTGTGTGGTGCGGCCGTGGAGACCAGGGAGCACCGCTTCTGGGCGTGCCCACTGTGGGATGCAGCCCGCCGCGCCGAGCTGCAGGCCACTGGGTCGAGCCATGCAGCCCTGTTCGCTCGCCTCCTCGCGGGCGTTCCGCTGACTGGGGTGTGGCCCGTAGGCAGGGCTTTCAGCAGCAGTGCGCGCGGTCAGCGCGGTCGGGGCGCCCGTGGCGCTTGTGTCTGTTTCGCGCTATGTGCGCCGCGGGATTGCGGCCCTGCACGCCAGTGCGCTGTCCGCCGAGTGGATGTACGCAGACCTGTGGGAGTTGCTGGAGCCGCACTGCCAGAGCGGGTTAATCAAAGCCCAAATGGTCCAGGGGCACCTTGCTGCCGCCGCGGCGGCGAGCCACAGTATCGCGCCAAAAGACCACGCTGGCAACGAAACCGCCGATCTGCTGGCAACGCGGCAGCCGCCGCGCGCGCCTGTTTGCCCGAGCGTGCGCTGTGCGTCGGGCGGCAGGTGCATTTGCATGCGCTGCGTGCTCTCCAGCGGCCGCTGACGGCCGTGAAGGTGGCTGCGCGGCGGGCCAACCGCGAGAGCTCAGGGCCAGCAGGGCCCAGGGTGCGCAGGCGATGCACGGGGGGTCCACGGCCAGCGCTGGCCGCGCAGCCCATCCGGCAGCGGACGCAGCAGCAGCGAGCGCCGGCGGCGGACCCACAGCCGCAGCAGCCCCAGCGGCGCGCCCGGCGACCGTGGGCGTTCGGCCACGGCCTCCCGCAGCACGGAGTTGCCGAGGCCGCCCACGCCTTCTTCGGGGGTGGCGCGTGGGCGCCGCACGCGGCGTCGCATAGGGCCCCAGCTGAGTCGAGCGCCCGTGCTGCGGCAGCGCAGGGATGGGCCGGCGCGCTGCCGCCCCGCGCGGCGGCGCTCCTCCCGGTGCTGGCGGCGCGGGCCGGGGGCGGCGAGGCGAGTTGGCGCGCGGCGTTGCGCAGGCGGTTGGCGGCGCGGCCAAGGCCGCCGGAGTAGGCTAGAGCAGAGCAGCCGGGTGCTAGGGCCGCACATGTTTCACCCGTTCCTCCTTCCCTTCCCATGCCCTTCCCCCTGTTGCGTTTCGCCGCGGGGGGGGGGCGCTTGCGCTTGTGAGAAAGTGTGGCGCTCGGGTGCGCCACCCTCTCCTGCGGAGAGAGGAGAGGGAAAGGAGGGGAAGGGAGCTGGAGGAGGAGGAACGAGGAACGAGGAGGGAGGAGGAGGAGGAGGAGGAGGAGGAGGAGGAGAAAGAGGAGGAGACACGGCCAGCATGAACCCAAGGTTCATCGACGATGTTGCAATAAGCCATCCCTCCAATATCTTCCTTCATGGGCTCCTGCAAGAACGTATGTTCATTGCGGGAAGTGTCCCAGTGAAGACAAACGGCAGAAGAAATCGACCGTGATCGCACCCCCCCCCACACTCCCAGAAGGGGAGACGTTTCGCCAGAACAATACAAATGCAATGAACCATTTGTTTAACATCAATTCAAAAAAAAAGAATCTAGACACCTGTGAGTTTCCAAAACTGTTTGAGGATCCCTGATCGTGCCGAAACGAAGTTCCTGGGCGTGCAGCGCCGCGAATCAGCCACACCGAAGGCCCCAGTGGCAGGGTTCGCATGCCTCCCCGCCACCCATCTCGGCACACCCCTCACACGTTTCGTGGCCCCATAGGGAGCTCCACCGAAGGCCCCAGTGGCAGGGTCCGCATACCTCCCCACCACCTATTTCGGCACACCGCTCACACGTTTCGTGGCCCCACCCATAGGGAGCTCCACCGAAGGCCCCAGTGGCAGGGTTCGCATGCGGTTCCACCCCCCATTTCGGCACTCCCCAACACCCATTTCGGCACACCCCTCACACGCTTCGTGGCCCCATAGGGATCTCCACCGAAGGTCGGGGGGAGCTTGAGACTCTGGTGACACATGCGTTGGCACGTCTGGGTGGCTATCGGGTGGCTGGAACCGTTGGGGTAATCCGTGGAGAATGGGCTGTGGAAGTCGCTTCTGAGGGCCCTGCCACTCCATCTCACGGTCCAAATCCACGGGCAGAGCATCAGGCTTGACCCTTCTGCTTCCAACTCAGGGCGTCCCCAGTATATGAAGTGCGTCACCCGTACCTTGTAATTTTGTTCTCTGTGAGTCCATGCAGTTCGTGTTCTTCGTGTTCCCAGACCACCATTCCCGGGTTACATTTTCAGTGTCTTCGTCTCATATCCGTGCGGTACTCGCAGCTGCATATGGTTGGGTCCTTCGCCAGGCTAATTTAAGAGCTGCATATTGAAAAGTTGTTGTGACTGTTTAAGACCAGCGTGCGCGGCGCCAGGGAGAGAGGTTCAGATAGAGAACGGCCCGCCTTCCATCGTCGAACATGTTACAAGCTTGTCAGACGAATGCGCGCGGCGCTAAGGCAAACGTTACACTTTGAACACGACTCAGGATCAATGGGGTAGCTTCATGGTCTAGGATGATGGGGGAGCGGGAATGGAAGCAGGAGGCAGAAACGGCAAAATGGGACATCCGGGAGGAAGAGAAGGAGGAGTTTGGCCTTGGGCTTCTCCACGATAGGGGGACATCCCCAACCTACCATGTGGAACACTTCTTTTTGTTGGTCTGGTTGCTGGAAAACTGGCCAGACGAAGTTGGAGATCCCAAGAAACAGAAGGGGCCATGGCTAGACAGACCAGCCCACCATTCTTGGATCTGAGAATTCCAAGTTTCAGGGACAGAAGTGGCGAGGCAGTCTCCGGCGGAGAACGCCTGGCCCGGCCTGCGGGACACGCCTGGGGGGCGCGACAGGGAGAGATGGTTTGCAAGGAATGGGGCTGGAGGGAGGAGGTACGAGGAGCAAGGGGGAGAGGAGCGAGGAGAAGAAAGAGGAGTGAGGAACGCGGAGGGGGAGGAGGACGGGCAAGGAGGGAGGAGGGAGAAAGCAGGGGAGAGGAGGAGGAGGAGGAGGAGGAGGAGGAGGAGGAGGAAGAGGAGGAGGCGGAAGTGGACGTGGACGAGGGACGAGGGACGAGGGACGAGGAGTCACGAGGGACGCGGAGGGACGAGGAGGAAGGGGCCCCAGAGGACCCCGCGATCCACCTGTACACGCGGCAGCAGCGATTGCTCCCGGGAAACAGAGTGGGGGCGAGGGGCCCGAAAGGGGCGGACTACTCGCTGTATCCAGTGGGCAAGCGCCGCGTGCCCTTGCTTCTTGGAGCTTGCCTCGTCCGTTCTCGAGGGAGCGCAGGGGGAGGAGGAGAAAACGATCACACCGATATTGCTACCCTTCCCTCGTCGCCCTGGCTGGATTCGCTTCGATACCCTGGTCAGAACGCACCGTGCACCCCAGGAGCGGCCTGGGGATCCGCGGTATCGGTATCGCTTCGTTTCCCCGGAAGGGACGCGGGGAAGGGACACGGAGGATCGACGATCGAGGGGGACCGGGGATCGAGGATGGAGAAGGAGGAGGAGGAGGAAGAGGAGGAGGAGGAGGAGGAGGAGGAGGAGGAGGAGGAGGAGGAGGAGGAGGAGGAGGGGATCGAGGAACGATGAGGAGGAGGAGGAGGAGGAGGAGGATAGAGGAGGAGAAGGAGGAGGAGGAGGAGGAGGAGAGTATCGAGGAAGTCGCCCTGTTCCTTGCCCCTGGGAGTGTGCTTCGTTCGCCTCGGGGAAGAGCGTCTGTTTACGAGGACCGCTGCAGGGCGCTACCAGGACCTCTGAGTGCAGGACGGAGGGGGCGGCGTTCCTGCACCAGCGAGGGCAGGCCGCGGCCAAAAGGGACGATGAACGTCGCTGGACGAGGAGGGTCGAGGATCGAGACGGGTGGAGGATCGAGGAGGAGGACGGATGGTCGAGGATCGAGGAGGAACGGGGAGGAGGACGCCTTGTTCCTTGCTCCCTCGTCCCCTCGTCCCTTCCTCCACCCATCCATCCTCCTCCATCCTCGCTCCTCTCCTTCTGGACTCCCCTCCTGCTCCCCGCTCATCCCCTCCTCCTGGTCACTCCCTCCCGCTCCCTGCCCCTCAATCGCTCTTCCTCCCTCCGCCCGTCCTCCCCTTTGCCCTCCCGCTCCCTGCCCCTCCCGCTCCCTGCCCCTCCCGCTCCCGGCCCCTCCCTGCCCCTGCCCTTTCGCTCGCCCTTTCTCTCCGGCCGTCTCGGGGGCGGGGCCTCCTGTCGCCATGGAGGAAGCGGGTCCCGAGGGAAACGGGCTCTGAGGCGATTCGCCGTTTCTGGGCTCTCGGGGCCCTCCACGGGCCCGGAGATTGTCAGGGAACGACTCAAGATGAAGAATGGGTCTTGGGGGAGTGCTCCAGGACCCAGGACCCGTCTTGTTACAGGACCCGTTTACCCCATGCTCAGTGGGACCGTCGTGTGCTTTCCTTCGAGGGGCAAGACACCGCATCAATATAGATGCTCGACGGTCCGCGCGGGTTTCTTGGATCTGCGCCAGGCCCCCTTGCAAGAACTCCGCGCGGGACTTTGAATGCGTACGTTTACACCTTAGGCGATGCTTAAGAAAACTTGAGTTTTCGGCCAGAGTCTCGATTATTCTTAATGTTTCAATGTAAATCCTAAGATTTTGATAGAAATGTTGGGTTTTCATTCGAGTTCTGAGACCATGAATTTCTTAACCCATGATTTCTTAACCATTTCGCGTGGTGTACGCGGTTATTTGTTGTACCTCTTCGGCAGCCTTGATCCCCCCCGAAGAGCGCGGAGAGCGAAAGTGAGCGACGACACATTTCAGGAGGGAAAGAAACACACAGACACAAATAAATCTCGATTCCCCAGAAAATAGGGGAAAATATGGGAAGCGGTGGGGAAGACAAAAACATAGAACATATGGGAAAATATGGGGGATCATTTTATTTGTGTGTATTTATTTGTGTGTCCTGGGGCCCCTTGATTGATCCCCCCCGAAGAGCGTGGAAAGCGAACGTGAGCGACGACGCAGTGGCCATCAGTGAGCTTGGCGCTTGGCCTCCCGACGTCTGCCCGGGAGGGCGTCTTTTAGGGGTGCCTCGGAAGCGCCTCGCGCAGGGGCCTTCCCGGGAGGCTGGCCGCGCGGCCTCGGGAGCTGCTCTCTTGGCCGCTCGCGAGGCAGCACTCCGCCGTGGCTGCCCTGTGGGCCTGCCCTCGCAGGCGATTTCTCTCCCCCAATCCCCGACTTCCGCCAGAAAATGTTGGTCGCTCAGAAAAGGGGAGGAATCTTGGGATACATCCCGAGGGGGCTATTCGGACGCACCCCTGTCGAGGATGGACGCCCCCCCCTCGTATATCCCAGGGTTGGGCCCCAAATTGTTGATCCTCTCGAAAACCTCACGGAGCCTGGGATAGGGGTCGACGCATCCCCTGTTATGCCCAGGCCGTCTCGGAAGCCACGTGCTGGGCATCCCGGACCCCCTGTTTCACGTCGAGCCCGTCCTTGTCCAGGAGGAATAGTTGTTCAGAAGTAGCAGAGAAATTGTATGGGCATGCTTTGCTTTGCTATGTTAGGGTATTTGTTCCGTCAGCTTTGGGCATTTCTTATTTGTCGTCCAAGGTCCGCCTGTAGGGGGACAATGCCCTGTCGTGCAGGCTACGGCGAGCGCCCGCGCGCCCTTGACTTGCCCACCTGCTACGCCGCAGCGAGGCAGGGGTCCACGCGCGCGCTCGGGCGGCCCGGGAGACGGAAGGCCCGGGCTCGCCCACGGGAGGGCAAATGGAACGAAGAGGGCCACAACGCAGGGGCCCTGGGAGAGGGCGCCCAGGGAGGCGTCGAGGCGTCCAGGGAGCGTCCGGGGGGAGGGGGCAGGCGAGGCGAGGCGCGCGCGAGCGTGGCCTCGGGAGGAGGGGGGGTGGCCCCTTCTCGGAAAACATCGGCGGCGCGCAGAGGGGGAGGAGGAGGAGGAGGAGGAGGAGGAGGAGGAGGAGGAGGAGGAGGAGGAGGAGGGAGGACGGAGACGGAGACGGAGGAGGAGGAGGAGGAGGAGGAGGAGGAGGAGAAGGAGGAGGAGGAGGAAGAGGAGGAGGAGGAGGAGGAGGAGGAGGAGGATAATTGGCGGCGCGCAGAGGGGGGTAGTGGGAGGGGGGAAGGCTTCCTTAGAAGCACACTCCTGCTTCTGAAAAGGCGCGGGCCTTGTCTGTAGATGTAGGGCCGGCGACTTCTAAGGAGCGGCCTGCTTCTAGGAAGCCTGCCCGCCTCCACCTCCCCCCCTCTGCGCGCGCTGCCAGAAACTGGCAGTTGCCCGACAGCACATGGCATTCCACAGCGCGTCAGCGTGCCAGGGGCGCGGTGGCGGATCTCCCTTCGTCCTGCGTGGGCGTGGGAAGAGCAGCAGCGGGGCGAAGCGGAAGAAGGAGGGCGGCGAAGGGCGGAGGAGGAGAAGAAGGAGGAGGGGGCGGGACAGGGAGGGAAGGATAAGTGAGAAAGGGGAGGAAGAGGACAAGTAGGCGGAGGCGCGTGCGGAATATGGGACTGTGGGAAGGGGGCGGGGAGGTAAAAAGGTGAGGGGAAGCGAGACAGAGAGATGCGGGTGAGCGCGAGGCAGAGAGATATAGGGAGAAGGGGGGAAACAGGTTGAGGGGAAACGGGAGAGCAGAAAGGGCAAGGATGGGGAAGAGGATAGGATGACGAAGGAAGAAGTGGAGCAGAGGGGGGGGAAGGGAGGGACGATAGTAGAGAGGATCGGGGAGGGAGGGAGGAGGAGGAGGAGGGAGGAGGAAGGGTACGGAGGAGGAGTGAGGAGGAGGAGGGAGCATTGGGAGGTGGTGGGAGGAGGAGGAGGAGGAACGGAAGGAGGAGGCGGAGGAGGAGGAGGAACAGAAGGAGGAGGAGGAAGTGGTGGAGGAGGAGGAGGAGGAGGAGGAGGAGGAGGAGGAGGGGCGGCAAGATCACACACTTTCAGGCCGAGGGCTTCTTTCGAGGCCGGCTGATTACACTGCTCTCAACAACATGCTCAATCACGACACCTTGGACGCTCTCCAGCAGGCGATGCCCCTCGTCAGGCGAGCCCCTTCTTCCATTCTCCCCGTCCTGCTTCCTCCCTATTTTCTCCCCCCGCATCCTCCCTCCTTCCTCCCTCGGGAGGGAGAGGAGGGTCGGGAAGGACGGGGGTGGTGGTGCTGGAAGGGTAGGGAGGAGGGGAGCAGAAGCAGGAGGCGCGAATGGGAGGGAGGGAGGGAGGGAGGGGAGGAGAAGGGGCATGGAGGAAAGTGAGGAAAGGGCAGTAGGGGGAAGGAGAAGAAGTTGGAGGCGGAGGCAAGGAGACGAGGGGGCAGGGGGAGGGAACGCGACTGGGAGGACGGGGTGGGGGAAGCGAAGAGGGATGTGATGATAATGGGGGGGCGTACGCAACTGTCGGTACAGCGACATTGCCGATTCGTTAAAACATTGATGAAGAGTTGAAATAAATGACCGTTACTTGGCCTCTTTCGGTTTTATCTTATAGTATAGGCCACGAGCCTCGGGAGATACGGCCAACGCAAGCAATATTTACGACAATTTCCAGCAAGTGGCTCGGCACAGTGGAGGGGGGAGGGGAAGGAGAGGGAGCACGAGTCCATCCCGCGGCCCAACAGGCGGATGATGTTCTCCCTCCTTTTCCACGAGCGCTGTCAGGAGGAGCGCCTCCGTGGGCGGGCGGGTCGACCGAGCAGGCGGATCGAGAATCGGAGAGCTGGGAGATCGAGTATCGAGGCGGGGGTCTACGCGGAGGATGGAGGAGCAGGAGCAGGATTAAGTCGGGCCTGTCCCTCTACAGGAGGAATTTTGGGAGTATTTTGGAAGCATGTTTTGAGGATTTTTGATTTTTCATCCAAAATCCCCCTGTAGGGGGACAGGCCCGACCTAAGAGCAAGAACATCCTCCTTATTTCGAGACAGGAACAAAAACGCACGATCATAAACTCTTGGCGCTCCGCGCAGGTTTCTTGGATCGGCGCTGGCCCCCCCCTCCCGGCCCCCTCCGGCGCCGCCTCTGGCGCGTTCCGCGCGCCAGGGAGGGGGGATCCGGCGCAGGTCCAAGAAATCTGCGCGGAGCGCCAGAAGCTTATGTTTATGCAGTCGTTTCTTCTTCTACTACCGCCTCCCCTCTCCCCTATCCTCTTGTTTTCTCTTCCGCTTCCTCTTTCCTCGCCCTTCCCGCTTGGTTCTGTTTCCGTGGTACGACCTGTGTTTTTATCGGGTGGTTGCGCCTACGACGCACATGACGACGATCTTCCAAGCTGGAGTCCATTCGCCGTGCGACAGGCAAGCGTGTAAATCTCATATATATACATCTGTGTTGTATCTTCATATGTTATGCATACATGTATACCACAAGCAACAAACACAACAACTTGCCTCTCCACCATTGTCCCTTTCACGTCCCTCCGCACTCCTCCCTCCTCTTGCTCGGTCTCCCCTCGTGTTTTCTCCTTGCCCCACCCCTTGACCTCCTGCCCGCACATGTTGCCCTGTCCTGGATTTGAGCATGCCTCATCCCCGCCCCCCCCCCGCCGCCGCCCTCCCACTCTGCCTCATACCGTTGCCCCCGCGTCCAACCACTTTTGGCTACTCATCTAGGGGCCGTCAGCCCGTCCTGCCACCGTGCCTGGCCCGTGGGTCAGGAGCCTCTTCGGGCCTCTTTGGGGAATGCCTCTTGGGGTCTCTACCCATCAAAGAGCGACGGCAGGCGGCCGCGCATTCGCACGAGGGAGCCCCCCCCTTAACCCCCCGCTCCCGCTGCTGATGCTGCTGCTGCCTTCCATTGCGCTGCACTGCTGGCGGGCTGCCCCCTGGAGGCACGATGGACTTAGGGGGACCCAAAAGAATGCTCTTCCCCTTCTCAATTCGTGGATGCTACCCCTTCAGTGCTGCTGGACATCCGACGAGAAACCTACATGGCAACTCCTAGCCAAGCAACGCAAGTCTCTCGAAGTGTAGGTCCCGGACCACGCGCATCCGAGGTAGAAGGTTGCTTCATCTGCTGAGAAAGGAAACATGAAGAGCCTGTGCCCCCTAGGCTCTTGAACTAAACATGACAGTGGATTGGTATGGCCTGGGCAGGCAAGCCTGCTCTAGCGAGCCTTGGTGCTGCTCTTGCACGTCCACGCCAGGCAACGGGGACAAACCCACTTAGTCTGCCTCCGAAACCAGGCGTGGGCTGGGAACTCTTGTCCCTCTCCCCGGGGGGAGAGACGACGACCACGAGGCTCCGACGGAGGATCAGGAGGAGGAGGAGGTTGTGGAGATGGGGCGGTTGCCGAGAGAATGGCGGCCTCCCTTTCGACAGGCTGCGCCACCATTTTTCAAGCAGCCTGCACAACCCTCTGGATATTAGCCCTGGTCCTCGGACCCTCTTAAACTTGCGTTTGTTGGCGCGTGTGGTTGCAAGCTGGGGCCACAAGGTGAGGGCTTCACATACAGACATCAAGAAAACGGCCAGCAATCTGGCGTCCCGTTCAAAATCGTCCACTTCCGCATTGGCAGGGCGGCGATGCATTTAGGCCCCCTGTTTGGCACATCTGTCGGCACGGGAATGCCCGAGAGTTCTAATGTGTTCGTCCGTGTCGGCGCTTGACGAGTCTACATCTTGGTGGCCTTTGACTTTGCTGACGTGGCAGGTCGAAGTCCACGTTGGGCCTCCAAGAATCAGTTTGCTGAGGCCTGCGTAGCGCGATTTCCTATCCAGCGCGACTCACGCAGGGTCATTGAGACTAAGGTCCCCCATGGAATCAGTGGCGAGTTCGCGGATCCCATCGAGTGGAGCAGCAGTGGACAAGGCGATCTATTCGGTTGTTGGGGATGTTTGCGGGAAGGCGGCCCCAACACGTCCATAGAGAGCCGCGTAGGGCTCCCCGTTATCTTGAAGGCGAACAACCGCCCATCCAGCATGATGAAAATACTCGGCTCTTGACTTGAAGCATCTGTGAACAGTCTGCCTCGGAGGGCCTGCTCCACAGCGACGTCTGGATCGGCGTACCAAAAATGTGCAGTTTCCTGCCCAGAGCCCTCTTGGGGGCGCAATTCAAATTGGGCGCAAGTTGAAAACCCGCCAGGAAAGGATGGCGGTTCCCTACATACCGCTCGATATCATCCCTCTGATCGGGTGTGAGCTTCGAATCCCGGAGCGGTTGAGACAGTGGGCACTCACAGCCGATGCACCACGTCATCATTGCGATGCCCGCATGGGCAGAAAGGCTGAGTGACAACATACCCGACTTGAGCAAGTTTGGTATCAGTCCACAGCCCATGGGTCAGATATCCCACGAGTCATGTTTTCTCCCTAGACTCAGAGGGGAACAATCCGTAGGCCCCCGCCCCGCCCAGTGTTCAGCACGGACAGCCACGCCTACATCAAGCACGTATTCACTGAAGCCTTGTCTCTTTGCGCTCTTTCTCTCCACGACTTCTGCAACAGGGGGGAGAGCAAAGAAGAGGAGGTGGAGGTAAGACAATGGGTGTCGCCCCTAGGGTTAAAATTTCCGACCGATCTTAGCTACTGACAGCATCGCAGTTCCAAAAGGGCCACGCACTGAGCGCCACTTCTGGGGAGGTTTCCTCAACACCACAGACGCCAAACTACAAAGCCTTGGAAGACCTCCCGAGAAGTGCGGGCTTGTGAGCGCACGCGATGCCTTCCAGACAATGGTGGCCCACGTCAGGGCTGGGGCCAGCCCGGCACTCCAGAGAGGGTCTCGGAGGAGGACGAGGGCGAGGGTGCGAGACCGAGCCCGAGCTCTAGGCCCTACCACTCTTAACAACTCACCCTGCAGCCATTTCAATTCGAGATTGTCCACTCCCGTGACCTCCGCTCCAAAAGTGTGCGCTTGTTGAAAGCCCGTGCGGAACAATTTACATGTCGGCACCAGCCCGGCGCAAGCTGCCGGAGACCGCAGGAGTGAGGGTCGGGGGCGGCCAAGGGGGAGGTGATGATTGGGGGAGGTGGATAGCATGGCGGGGGCCACGATATCTCTCCAGATTTCATGTCGCCTTTCTTATCTTATTACGTCCCTTGCCCCCCCACGGGCCGCGCACATGCCGCCGGCCATGATTTGCGCCCCCCCCCCTCTCTTGGACGCCTCCCTCTTCGATGGCCCCGAGAGGGGTGTTCGCTAGGACTGAGCGCGCCAGGCCGAGACGGGAGCACCACAGTCCGTGGCCGTCCCCGCGCCCGCTCCCCTCGGGGAAGGGGGAGCAGGGGCAGGGCCCGTCGGAAGCGGGGACCCCCCCCCCCTCTCCTGCTCCCCTGCTCCCCCGCTGCCTCTCCCTCTTCCTCCCTCTCCTCCTGCTCCTCCTCCTGCTCCTCATCATCCTCTCATCCTCCTCCTGCTCCTCCTCATCATCATCATGTTCGCCAGCATCATCTTCATCACCACCACAAGCATCATCACCATCATCATCATCATCATCATCATCATCATCATCATCATCAACATCATCATCATCATCATCATCATCATCATCATAATCATCATCAGCATCATCAGCATCATCATCATCATCATCATCATCAACATCATCAACAACATCATCCTCCTCAGCAGCAGCATCGCCATCATCGTCGCCATCGTCCTCGTCATAATAACAATACGAATAATAACAATAATCGTCAGCCGCATCACCATCAACAGCACTAGCACGATCAGCACTAGCATGAGCATCATCATAATCATAACCACCACCAACATCATCATCCAAATCATCATCGTCATCAGCAGCATCAGCATCATCGCCATCACCATCAGGAGTCCGCTATCAGGATGCGCCTGGATCATTACCATTAGCATATTCATCGTCCTCATAATCATCAGCATCATCGTCAGCATCATAATCAACATCACCATCACCATAATCATCATCACCATCACATCAGCATCATCATAATCATCAGCATCATCAGCATCAGCATCAGCAACATCATCATCAGCATCATCAGCATGTTTGTACTCACCATCATGCCCCCTCCTCCTCCTCCTCCTCCTCCTCCTCCTCCTCCTTCTCCTCCTCCTCCTCCTCCTCCTCCGCCCTCTCCGCCCCCTCCGCCGCCCCTGGCCGGCCAGGACGAGGACAGCGATGGTTTCGACGAGGTGGAGCCGAAGAGGCGCCTCCTTCGCGAGGGGCAGCAGGGGTAGGGGGCAGGGGAGCACGGGCAGGGAGGGGGGCAGGGGCATGGAGTGGAGGGGGGGGGGGGGCTGGAGGAGGGGGAACGGGGGAGGTGGAGGAGCAGGAAGAGGAGGAGGAGGAGGAGGAGGAGGAGGAGGAGGAGAGGAGGAGAGGAGAAGGAGCAGGAGGAAAAGGAGGAGGAGTTGGAGGAGGAGGAGGAGGAGAGGAAGGAGGAGGAGGAGGAGGAGGAGGAGGAGGAGGAGGAGGCGGAGGGGGAGGAGGAGGGGGAGGGGGAGGAGGAGGAGGAGGAGGAGGAGGAGGAGGAGGAGCAGGAGGAGGAGGAGGATGTTGAATTGCATCTACGATCATCCCCTTTCCCAGCCTGCCAGTGCCGTTGCCCCTCTCACCCGCTCAGACCGCTGACGTTTGGTTCACAGAGCTCTTGAGTTTACGGCGCAGAAAACCAGAACGATCGCGGGCGGCGGCCCGCTACTTGATGGTAGCGGAGCTGGCCCACTCGCCCCGGCCAGTTCCCGCCTCCGCAGCAGCTGCGTGGAGGTTTGCATTGGCGCGCCCCGTGGCGGGGGCAGCGCGCCCGCCTGCGGGGAGCAGGCCGGCACCCACGGCGTGGGGAATCGGCGTACCCACACAAGCTGGACTACCTGGGCGGTGTCTGGCAACCCGGCAGCCGTGCCAAGCGCGGCGTGCAGCAGTTCCACTGCGACTCCTATTACTACTTCCGGCAGCCGCGCTAAGAGTGCGGTGTGCAGATATGCGACCTGCGACCATGTCAAGAGTGTCGAAGCTGGAGCTCGAGAAGGACATCCCGCTGTATGACGGTGATCCTGCGCTTTTCGAGGAATACCAAGAGCGAGCTCGTGACGCCTTCTTCGGGCGCGTGGGCGATGAGAAGCAGATAGCGACGCCCATCAACCTCAGGAACGGTCTCTCGGGCACAGCACACGATGCGGTTAGGTCGCTCACTCACCAGCAGCTGCTCACCTTCGAGACGGAGACCGTCGAGAGCGGAGGCAAGGGCGGCGGCAGCTACGAGAAGAAAAGGGCGACCACCGTCGGACTGGAGTTATTGCTGAACACACTGGGAGAGTCCGTGCTGAAGGAGAGACCCGCTCGGGCAGCTGAGCTGTTCGATGGCGCGCTGTACGACAAGTCGGTGTGGAGGTCACCAGGCGAGAGCATGCAGGAGTACATCACCAGACTTTCGAAGGCGTTCGACGACCTCAAGAAGGTAAGCGAGGAGACCAGCATCAGCAACGACCTGCAGGCCCACCTGCTGCTGAAGTTCTCTGGGCTCGAGAAGTCCGACCATGCAAGCATCATCAGCAGCGCTGGCAACAGGTACGACAAGGACGCATTCGGAAAGGCATTACGTATGCAGCATCCGAGCATCCACGAGCGAGAGTGGAAGGGCAAGAGTGACCAGAGGCCGGACCCGCGACCTCAGCGGTTCGGTCAACGACGGCAGCATCACGGACACCACCAGCACAAGTCGGCGTGGCAGGCCGGCATCGATGAGGATGGAGAATACGAAGACGACGACGCCGCCTTTACCAGCCAGGGCGCTCAGTCCATCAACGGAGATGACACGTGCGAGAACTACCTTGGCGAGGACGAGGCGACGCTTGACGAGATAGAGCAGATGGACGACGAGGCGCTCGAGAGCTTCGCGGCCATCATTCAGCACCAGCAGAAGTTCCACGGCAAGGGCAGCGGTCGAGGACGCAGCCGAGGACGCGGTCGAGGATATCGGTCGCAGTCAGCGGCGAGCTCGAGGGACAGGCCCGCAGTCCGTGGCAGGGGCAGCCCAGGCGAGAACCCTGAGCGACGCGCACGCATTGACAAGCTGAAGAAGACGACTCGCTGCGCGAGCTGTGGACAGATCTGACATTGGCATGGTGATGCGAGTTGCCCGAAGTCATCGAGGTCATCGCAGCCCCACTCGGACAGGCCGAAGGCCAGCTACTTCAGCGTGACGGATAACAGCGGAGACGGCGGTGACGTCAAGAGCGCGTACGTGTCCTCGGTCAGTGGTCTAGGAGCTCGGCCCAAGGCTCGACCCATGCCCAAGCCGAAGCCGAAGGCGGATCCGAGGACGATGGCGATCGGCCACTGAGACGGAGCCGCCCGCCCCTGTCTGTCATGAGCGCCCCTTGCGAGCACGTCCTCGACGCGGGCCCGAGGCTCTTCAAGGGCGCCAACGGGACCACGCGCTACCTGACGTGCCACATGTGCGACGAGAACGGCATCCACGTCACCGAGGCCTATCGGCCCGGATCTGGACGGAAGGACGGGCAAGGACTTTGGAGGTTCATGATGTGCTCGCTGCTCTTCACGCCGAGAGGGCGCAGGTTCTACGACGGGCACCGGACGACGCGACGGTCGGCAACCAGGCTGAGGCAGCGCCTTCGTCTCGTCCGAGTTGGCACGGGAGAGGCGAGCTCGTCGAGATCGGCAGCGCCGAGGACCCAGCGCACGGCGGAGGAGATCGAGGTCCCCGGGTCCGACCTGGAGGAGGAGCCCGAGGACGGCGGCGAGGCCGTGAACCCCGACGCGGAGGTCGAGGAGCACGAGGCGGAGGACGACGAGATCTACGCGGCGTACCCGGCGGTTTTCGACCAGGACGTGGACGGCCTCAACGTGGAGGACCCGCCGAAGGGCATCGAGAAGATCAAGACTGACAAGTACTCAGGCTTCACGTTCGCCGAGTTCGCCGAGAGGACGTCTGCGGTGGCCTACGGCGTCGACATCATCAAGAGGCCCATGGGTCAGGAGGCGCTGGGCGGCAAGCTCAGGCTCGACCAGTGCCGGCTCGCGTGGCACCTGATCTGGCTCTCGGCGATCGGCGAGTGGAGTGCGGACAGCGCCACCGAGGCGCAGCAGGAGCAGGATAGCGGCGCGCTGGGCTTCAAGGTCCTGATGATCCACCCCGTGCCCGACGAGGTCGACGCATACGCTACGAGGAGGAAGGATCCACCGGGAATGGCAGTTCTGGACACGGCGTGCCAGGCTACGATGCAAGGCAAACCCTGGAGGATCAGCTACGAGCAGGCCTTGCACGAGAAGAGCTTGAAGACGGACCCACGCTCCAAGAACGCTGCCTTTCGAGGCGTCGGTGGAGGAGCTAGGTCGGACACGGTGTACAGCATGCCTGCAGGGATCGGCGGCCAGCCGTTCGCGCTGGAGTCGGCGGAGCTCGACCAGGACGCACCCCTGCTCATCAGCCGAGGCTCACGGCAGAGGCTCGGCACCGTGATCGACGTTGAGAAGAAGATCGCGGACTTCACCAGGCTCGGCGTGTACGGTTACAAGCTTATCGACACGGCATGCGGCCACCTCGGAGTCAACCTGCTGGACTTCCCGGACCCGAGCGTCTTCGGCGAGGAGTTCCAGGAGTTTCTGCCCGAGGACGGGCGGGGCGGCGACGGCGCCCATACGGACTGCATCGACTCCTCGGAGGTGCTGGCCGCGTACGCGCTGGAGCGGACCCACCACGAGACCATCGAGGAGGTCTTCGAGGATCCCAAGAAGACCGACTGGGGCGAGGACGAGTCCATGAGGATGGCGAGCTCGAGGCGTTTGAAGAAGGTTCAGGCAATGCACGAGGACCTGATGACCGTGGAGGCGACTACCATGGAGGTGATGGCCGGCACTACGGTAAGGAGGAGGCGCCTACCGAGGGGCAAGACGCTGATCAAGCAGATCTTCTGCGGTCAGTTCGGCCTCACCTTGCTCGCGACGGCCACGTACGGCTACAACTGCGGTCAGCCCCTGGACATCTCCGACGGCTGGGATGGCGCTACGCGGAAGGGCAGGCAGTTCGCTCGTTACCAGTCGCTGGAGGAGGACCCCTACATAACGGTCATCACGATGCCGCGCGGCCCGCGGGGGGACTGGGGACGCTGCAACATGGCCAAGGGCGGTGTTGCGGCGGCAACCGTCTACGAGGCACAGGAGGCGACGAGACCGCTGCTGGCCCTGGCGGACCAGATGGTGGCGGACCGCGTGAGTCGCGGTAGGCACGTGTTGCTGGAGCAGCCTCTCGGCTCCAGCGCTTACAACGAACCCGAGATGAAGAGGGGAAGAGAGCTCGTCGAGAAGGGTGCGCTGCTTGAGTGCACCCCCCATGGCTGCATGCTCGGCTATGCGGACCAGGAGACGGGCGAGCCGCACTACAAGCCGAAGCGGTTCCTTACCACAGCGGTCGCGGTCTACGAGGCGCTGCGTGACCTGAAGTGCGACCACAGTCACGACCACGTGCCGCTCGAGAACGAGAAGAAGACCAGGGCCGCGGCCAGGTGGCCCGACAAGCTCGACAGGCTCGTCATGCACGCGATCGAGCAGCAGATCGACCTGGACGTCAGCGAGTACGTCATCGAGGGGCTTGGCGTGGTGGACTGCTACCCGACGGAGGCGACGCAGCAGCTGCTCCCGGAGTCGAAGCGACGGCGACTTCGAGGCAGGCAGCGGACAGCGAGACGCTCGGCCCCAGAGGGCGAGCGGCCTACCCAAGGAGGCCATCCACGAGATGGAGTTCCAGATGAGGACGGGCCCGCGGTGGACCCGGCAGGCGTCAGGGCCGAGGCGGCGGCGAACCTCGAGCCCACGCTCTCCCCCGAGGAGACGGAGAGGCGAGCGCGGTGGCTGGCAGTCGACCCAGCGGTCAGACGCGACATCCGCAATTTGCATGTGAACTTCGGCCACCCTACCAACGTGACGCTGGCGAGGTGCTTGAGAAGATCGGGAGCGAAGAAGGAGTTCCTGGAGGCCGTCTGGGACTTCAGGTGCGACGCCTGCGGCGACATGATCAGGGCGAAGCACGTCCGCCCGGCGCGGATGCCGGGACGCTACCAGTTCAATTTCCACGTGATGCTAGACACCCTGTTCGCCCACGACGCCACGGGCGGCACCCACGCGTTCCTCAACATCGCGTGCGACGGGACGCGGTTCCAGGTGGTCTGGTACCTGCGCAAGGGCACCCACGCGCCCTCGGCCAAGGTCGCGCTGGACGTGTTCCTCATGGCCTGGTGCAGCTGGGCCGGACTACCCCAGTCACTGTTCGTGGACCGTGGCAAGGAGTTCGCCAAGCAGTTCGTGGCCCACATGTTCGAGAACGGCGTCGAGACCGAGAACGCGGCGATGGAGCTTCACGAGCAGCTGGGCAGGATCGAGCGGCTGGGCGGCGTCTGGAAGGAGGCGCGGCACCGCGTGGTGCAGGACGCGCAGATTACGAAGGAGCAGGACCTACGGACGCTCTGCGGAATCATCAACCAGGTTCGTAATTAACGAGACGGTGATCTACGACGGCTACGCGCCGTCCAACTGGGTGCTCGGGGCGCGTGGCCTACGCGCCCCCGGCTCGACCCTGCAGGACGCCGAGGCGGAGAAGCTGAACGTGCAGGAGGCAGCGCTCGACCCCGAGTCCGCGATGGCCTCCAACCTGCTCTGGCGCGAGGCGGCCAAGGTTGCCTTCGCGAAGATGGATAGCGACAACCGAGTGAGGAGAGCGAAGCTAGCGAGGTCGACACCTACGAGGGGACCCTTCCCAGTCGGAGCCTACGTCTACTTTAGGAGGACGCACGTCAGGCCCGGTGAGTCCCCGGCGCTGTTCCACCGCTGGTTCGGCGTCGCCCGCGCGATCGGCCACGACTTCCGCGACCCCAACAAGATGGCCGACGGGATCAACGCTACGCTTCGACCTGCTGCCGTTCAGGGCAGCCCTCGCGCGGTTTGGCTACGGCATGGTGGCGGCGCGGTCCTGGCGAGGCCCGAGCAGCTAAGGTTCGCGACGGAGGACGAGCTGATCACCTGGGACCAGATGCCAGCGGATCAGCGAGGCGCTGCTCTACCCCGAGGACCTCGAGGATTCCTGGACGTACGACGTGAAGGACTGGAAGAGGGAGCTGCTGAGTTTCCCGAGGAGGCCCCGCTACCAGGCAGAACGACGGCGGCAGCACCGAGTGCAGCCGCTAGTGCTCCGAGCCACGCCCCGGCACCACAGGTGGACGAGGGGGCCCTGGGCGGGGGACTTGGCCCCGGCGATTCTGAGCCCTTGAGCTCTGCCCCCGGAGGCCATGGCTCGGAGCCGAGTGTGGCACAGCAGGGCGAAGATCTCACCCCGCTGGCCCCAGTGCTTGAGCCAGCCCACGAGCGTGGATCTGTACCTGGCGAAGACGTACCGGCGCCCGATGATGATGATGATGATAACCGAGGTGGTGAGATCGATCGCGATGATGATATCCAACCTGAACCTACCACTCCTCCTCCGAGATCCCCTGGGACTGGCGAGTTTCCGCCTGGCTCTCCGACCTACGGGCCAGAGCGCACGCCGCCACGGCGGCAGAGAGGAGGGCCCATGTCTGGAGCCTTCCTGGCGGAGCCCGACTCGGACGCTGCATTCTACGCCTGGATGCAGTGCGCCTGGCTGACCGGCAAGTCCAGAGGGAAGGAGCTCAAGTTCGCGGACCTCACGAAGGCGGAGAAGCTCCTCTTCGACGCGAGCATGGCCAAGGAGTGGGACAATTGGCGCAACTTCAGGGCGGTGACCGTGGTCACGGGCGACGCGGCCAAGGAGCTGCTAGGTCGGGTCAAGGCGATACCGTCGAGATGGGCACACACGAACAAGAACGAGTACGACCCGAAGCTCCCTCTGAAGGCGAAGTCCAGGCTGGTGGCGGTCGGCTGCTACGAGTCGGTCCACGTGAGGACGGACTCGCCTACGTCGTCCCTGCTTGTGTTCCACGTGATCTGCAGCGCGGCGGCCAGGAAGCACCGGCCACTCTACAAGCTCGACGCCGCGAGTGCCTACCTGCAAGGAGACGACGTCGACAGGATGCTCGCACTGCGACCCCCTCGCCACTACCACCAGGAGTTGAGCAAGGATCGGTGTTCATCTGCCACGGCGCGATCTACGGCACGAAGGGCGCTGGGAAGAAATGGTGGAGTAAGCTACGGGGGACGCTGCGCAGCAACTCGTGGCAGGAGAGCCGCTTGGAGAGGGCGTTCTTCCTCCTGTTCGAGCACAGCAGGCTCGTCGGCCTCGTCGGCACCTACGTGGACGACCTCTTCGCGACGGGCGACCCCAACAGCGACCTGTTCAAGGCCACGACGGACGAGCTCAAGCGGGCGCTGCTGCTGACGGAGGAGAAGCCGCCCTTCAGGTACTGCAGCAAGGACGTCGAGCAGATGGCGGACTACACGATCAAAATCAGCATGACGCACTTCATCGACCAGATGGAGACTGTCGTGATGTCCCCGGCCAGGGCGAAGCAGACCAAGGCGATGGCTACGGACGAGGAGCGGAGCGCTGCGGAGTCGGTGATTGGCTCGCTCGGATGGTTATCGAGGCAGCTCCGCATGGACGTCTCATTCGGCTACAGCTGGCTGGCGCAGCAGAAGAACCATGCGACCGTGCAGCACCTGTTGGAGATGAGCATGCTGGCTCGCTACTGCATGGAGACGCGTGAGGTGTGCATCTGCTTCCGAAGCGACATCCTACATAAGGGCGAAGATCTACACTCAGTCGTGTTCGCGGACAGCAGCCTCAACAACGTTGACGACTACGACCTGGGCCCGATTGGCGAGAAGGTGAAGTCACAGCTCGGATTCGTGTGCCTACTCAGCGACGACGGCCTCTACAAACATCAAGAAGGACCAGTGCATTCCTTGGACTGGGGGAGCTCACGCATCAAGAGAGTTTGTCGAGCGCCGATGGGAGCTGAAGCACACGGACTCAGTGAAGGAGCTGAAGCACTGGAGTGGATCCGGGCGCTGTACTACGAGATGGACCAGCCCAACCAGCCGCTGGGCGACCTGGTGGACGATGCTGCGACCCTGGTCCCTGCCAAGTGGTTCGATGATGCGAACAGCCTAGTCACCCACTTGCTCGCGGATGCTGGCCAGATCGCAGACCGTCGAGTTCGAGTGGTCATTGCGGCCCTACGAGAGATGCTCAGCCAAGATGGCGTGGACCTGGAGTGGTGCGACACCTCTGTTCAGCTGGCGGACGCTCTGACGAAGCTCGAGGCCGAGAGAGGATACCTGACCACCGCAATGCACGACGGCTACGTGAGCGTGAAGGTCTCTGCCGAGGCAGCCTCCGCGAAGGAGGCGATACGGGCGGCACGCCACAGGCGTGCGAACGTGCGTGGGGCCCTCGACGCTCAGAGCAGAACCAGTACCAGGGTGAGTGATGGCATGCAGCAGGCTACTTTCATGTGCGAGTCGGGATCTCCGACTTCGTTTCGCGGCGTTTCCGCGCCACTTCCGCCGAGATCGGTTTCACGGACGCTGGCTTGAGCGGTCGACCGATCGGTCTCGAACAATGTAGCTTGGATGATCGAGGACGGGTGTTGAATTGCATCTGCGATCGTCCCCTTTCCCAGCCTGCCAGTGCCCTTGCCCCTCTCACCCGCTCAGACCGCCTGACGTTTGGTTCACATAGCTCTTGAGTTTACGGCGCAGAAAACCAGAAACGATCGCGGGCGGCGGCCCGCTACTTGAGAGGAGGAGGAGGAGGAGGAGGAGGAGGAGGAGGAGGAGGAGGAGGAGGAGGAGGGAGGAGGAGGCGGAGGGTGAGGAGGGGGAGGGGGAGGAGGGGGAGGAGGAGGAGGAGGAGGAGGAGGAGGAGGAGGAGGAGGAGGAGGAGGAGCAGGAGGAGCAGGAGGAGGAAGAGGAGGAATGGAGGCTGCGTCGGACGAGCCAAGGGCCACCCGTACCAGGTACCCAGGACGAGGAAGAAGGACGGGCAGCAGCGGAGCGAGGGGGCTGAGGGGCAGGAAGTCTCAGAAAGAGGGCGAGGAGGAGGAGGAAGAGGAAGAGGAGGAGGAGAGAGCCAGCGTCTCCCTCCTTTGTCCCTCCTCTTCTTCTTTTCTTCCTCGTGTTTTCCTCGGTCCCCGTCGGCGGTGCCCCGCTCCCTCCCATGCTTTAGGATGTCGTGGGGGTGGACGGCCCCCTCCGCATTGTGGTAAACGTGACATGTTACGCCTCGGCTGGGTCGAGGAGACACCGGCGGTGGTTAGTCCACCTGCCTGTGCACCAGATTGGACACTGCGGAGAGCTTTCCAACTCAGGAGACCATCGCTCCTTTGTTTACCACCTGCGCGCGCACCACTTCGGTGTTCCGCTCTACCTTGCTCTGCCCGTGGTGGCGGCTGCGCCCTTCCAACCCAGGAGGGCGCCGCCCGCTACCTCGTCCACCAGCATGCGCACCAGCTGGGTGCTCTCAGCCGCGCCTTGACAGCGCGTTCCCTGCCATGGCTCCCGCGCATCGTCCAACCCACGCGGTGCGCGATCGCGCCCTCGCCAAGCGAGCCAGCGTTGGGCCGCCTTCGCTGGCGTTGCTCCCTGCAGCCCGCATGGCCGCCAAGGGCTCCACCCCTGTCTGCGGCGCCTGCTGCCAATTTGGGCGTCGCCGCCGCCGTTGCGATTCACCTCCAGCTTTGCCGCCCCGGTTGCCGCCGGCGCTGCCCCCCTCCCTTTTCCCCTGGTCGACCCGCTACGCGGCCCGACCAGGCCGATATGCTTCGCACCGACCTTGGGCGGTCCGCCCTCTCCCGCGCACTGCACCCGCCTCATGGGCGCGCGCCGGCGCTGCAGCTCCTGCGTTGCCGGCGGAGTGTCTCGCAGTCTCACTGCGGTTCGCCCCCCCCGCCACCCTGGGCGTCTGGCTGGGCTCCCCTCTCACTCTGACGGGTCCCGGCCGTGCGTCACTTGCCCTGGGCGTCGCGCGTGACTCCCTGCCGTGATGCCGTGCGCCGGTTGTGGAGTGGCGCTCCTGCTTTTCTCCCGCCCCTGCCCCGCCGCGCCCAGCGCCTGGAGGCAGTCCGCCGCCCCCCCCCCCAGGGCCACCGCACCTTCCACCGCCTTGGGCCTCTGCAGCTGCTGCAGCGCAGGACGACCTCTGGCCGCGGGCTCCACGCCGCTGCCACTCGCTCCTCTCCCGCCAGCCACCTGGTTTTCAGCCGCCGCTGCCGCCTCCGCTCCCTCCTCTTGCTGGTTCACGCCCGCACTGTGCCCGCTGGCCTCCCGCCCTGGGCGCGCAGCGAAGCCGACCCGCAGCCGCTGCCAACTTGGACCCTCACGCTGGCCGCGCCCACGACCCCGCTGCAGCCCCGCTGCGTGAGCGCGCTCCCGCGTTTCCTCCCCTCCCGCGGCCGCCCCCTCCCCTCATCCCCGTTTGCACGTGGGTTATTTCTTGACTCTGCGCCCCGGTGTCACTCGGACGCGCGCGCGGATGGCCTCTGCCGCGCCGCGACAGGAGAGAAGGTTCACTCGCAGAGAGACGCCTGTTCGTCATTGCCGCATATTGTCCCCGCTCCGCCACCTTAGTCAGCGCGCCAATTCTGTCTTGCACCCGCGCGCTCTCGGAGGTGGCCTCGTAATCGGGGATGATGCTAAGACACGCTCGGGGCCAGGAACACGCAATCGTGTCTGGAGGGATGATGGAGAACATCTAGCCCCAACCTCTTATAACATATGTTCCGTCATGCTCCCAAGATCATCTCCTAAACGCCATCCCGCAGTAGGCTCTCGGGCGAACTTGGGTGCGGATTGTTTAACCCCCCCTTGCAACGAGATGGCGCGCCATTGGCCGTGAAACCCAGCAGGGGCATGGGGGCACCGGGCACCGTCGACGGCTCGGTGTTTGTTTACTCTTCTCCATTCTTCACTTCCCCTTCTCACACGCCCGCCCCCCATTCCTCCCCCCATGACCCCCTCATTTTGTTCGAAGGGACAATAACTATATACATACACCAATCCTTGCCAAGCCCATGCTATGCCCAAGGTGATCCCTAGCATGGGGTGGGCTTGGCCAGGATCGGTGTAGGGGTATAGCTAGCTCCTTCCGACGAGGGGGAGTGGTGACGGGGGGGGAGGGGGAGGAGGAGGAGCAGGAGCGGAGCAGGAGCAGGAGGAGGAGAAACACGAGGTGGACAAGGAGGAGCAGGAGGAAGGGAAAAAGTAGAAGGGGGAGAAAGATGCAGAGAAACAAAGAGAGGAGAGAAGGAGGGGGAGGAGGGGGAGGAGGAGGAGGAGGAGGAGGAGGAGGAGGAGGAGGAGGAGGAGGAGGAGGAGGCGCAGCAGGAGGGGGAGGAGGAGGAGGAGGAGCAGGAGTGGCCCCGAAAAGGCGTTTCCACGCGGGGGGGACCTTTTACAAGGGCGACGTGGACAAGCCGTCGCCGCAGGACGCGGTCGCAACATATGTTTGCTTGCTTGCGCGGGGCTGAGCGAGAGCGGGGGAGCGCGCCGAAGCGTTTGGACAAAGACGGAAGAGCACGAGGAGAGAGAAAGAGGGAGGAGGGACGAGGGAAGAGAAGGGGGAACCTGCGGAGGAAGAAAGGGGATAGGAGGAGGAGGAGGAGGAGGAGGAGGAAGAGGAAGAGGAAGAGGAGGAGGAGGAGGAGAAGGAGGAGAAGAGCCATGTCGGCGCAAGGTCGCTCCACTGGCCTGGGCCCCGCCTCGGCTTCAGCGTTTTGATGCTGGCGTCGGTGGACGGGCGTCGCGCTGCCCTCGGGGCGGCCCGCGGCGCGCTCCTGGCGGCGCATGCGGCCTGCGGGCTGACGGCGGCGCACTTCGTGTTCAGGGTGCAGCTGATGCGCGCCGCCGCACGGCGAACGTGGCGATCGCCGCCCCGGACGCTCCAGAAGCGGAGCAGGCGCCGGCGCGGCGGAGCGGGCGGCGGCGGTGGAGCAGGCGGCGGCGCTGGAGGCGCGATGCACGTGGATGCCGAGCGCTCGAAGATGGACGGCGTGGAGGCGGCCGTGGCGGCAGGCGCGGAGGCGGGGCGGGCTGCCCCCTCGATGCGCGTGCTGGTGCCCGCTGGCACGGCCCTGGAGGTGGCGGAGGGCTCGCCGAGCCCACCCTCACTACTGGCCGACGACAGCTGGGCGGACGAGCTGCCAGGGCCGCGGGCGGAGGCGGCAACGGGCAGCGGCGGCGCTGCGGCTGGCGGGGCGCGCGCGGGCCTCGGGCTCGAACGATTGCCTGAAGCGGCAGCTCACGACGCTGGCGAGAACGAGACCATGGACGTGCAGGGCGCGATGAACGTCAGGCTGCCCCTGGAGCCGCTAGAGGTGTCAGCTGCCAGCGCCGCCGTGGTCGCCCGGCAGCGGCTGCGGATGCGCGCGGACTCCAGGGCGGGGGTTGTGGCTGTGGGATTCTACATCGTGCCGCAGAACGCCGACGCTGCCTGCCTCGAGCTCAAGGGCACGGACGAGATTGCCTTCGGGCCGCCCTCCTCCCTGGAACCGCTGCCCTGCTGGGGCGCGGAACCGCCGATTAGTTAGCGCGGCCTGAACAGGCGCGAGTGGCGCCGCGGCGTGGGCGCGCCTGCTGCCGCCGGGCTCGGCTCGAATTGCTGGTCGGCTCTGGGCCGTGGGCGGCGCGCCTCGGAAACCGCCTCGGGTTTACTTGGCGCGGCGAAATGCGCTGCCCTTGTAGGCCGCCCCCGTCACATCCTGGCCTGGGCTCCCGGATGGGTTGGACCGTCCCCACGGGAACGCGTTCGCTCCCGTCGGTGCCTTGTCTGGGATGTTGGCTAGAGCGGGCGCGAGAGGCGCCGCGCGCTCGGCCGCAAAGGATCGCCTCCGAAGCGAGCCGTCGTCCTCCTTGAGGGGGCCACGGGCCGCAGTGGAGCGCGAGCGGTGCGCAAAGGGAGAAGGAAGGGGAGGAGGAGCAGGAAGAGGAGGAGGAGGAGGAGAAAATGGAGGAGGAGGAGGAGGAGAAGGGTGGAGGGAGGAGGAGGTGGAGGTACAGAAGGAGGAGGAGGAGGAGGAGGAGGGGGAGGAGGAGGAGGAGGAGGAGGAGAGGAGGAGGAGGAGGAGGAGGAGGAGGAGGACGAGGACGATGACTTGGTACATGCGCACCACCGGGGTTCCCGCCCAAACGGCGACACAGCTCGACGCCGACCTGCTCAGCACACTGGAGGAGCTAGTACAAACGCACGACCTCACAGCGGAGCAGAAAGAGAAATACTGGCACCCTGTCGCTTTGGGCGGCTTGGGATTCCAGAGCGTGAGCGCAGCGCGCCTGGATGCCCAAGCGGCCTCGTGGGCGCTCTGCGAGAAGCCAGTGCTCCAGCGACTGGGCCTCCGCGACAGAGATGACCTTCTCCACTACTGCCCGGGCTTGAGACCGGCGCTCCACCGCCTCCAGAGCACTGTCAACGCGCTGACTCAGGAAGAGGCAGCGCAGCAGGCGCCCGACACGGAGCCGCCCGACACCACCCAGCGGCGCTTTACCAGGCACAGGCGGCACGCAGAGTGGACGCAGTGGCTGCGACGCACCCAGACGGAACCGCATCAACGGGCCTGGGCTCTTAGCACGACAGGCAAGGGGGCAGGCGCGTGGCTCGGGCCGCCCACGCGGCCCGACCACCACCTCGCTGACGCCCACTTCAGGATGGCCGTGAGACACAGACTCGGAGGTCTCGTACGCGCAGCTGACGGCCCCTGCCCCTTCAGAAAGGAGGACGGAACCCTCTGCACCGGCACCGTCGACACTAACGGACGCCACGCGCTTTGCTGCTCCTATGGCGGCTTCATGGTTAAGAGGCACAACAACCTGCGCGACACCATCGCGCGAGCCCTACGTGAAGCCGGCATTTGCGACATCGCAGTCGAGCCATGGATTCGCCCGCCCACCGGGCCGGGCAATTCGGGTCTCCGCGCGGACCTCAGATGCACCGACAGTGACGGCCAGTGGGCTTATCTGGACTTAACGATCGTGCATCCCGCCTCGCAGCAGAGCCTGCAGGCCGGCGGGGCCCACACCCAAGGCACCGCTGCGAGACTGGCCGAACAGGCCAAGCGCCGCAAATACAACGGAGTCGCTGGTTTCCAACCCCTCGGCTTCGAAGTGTCGGGAGCCATGGGCGAGTCCACCCGGAAATGGCTCGCGCAGCAAGTGCCTGAGGGCCCTGGGCGACTGGAGACTCTCAGCACCCTCCACCGGTCCATCGCCACCTGCGTGGTCCGGGAGGTGGCGCGCACGCTCATCAGCGCTGCCTGAGGTGGTCGTCGGGCCAGCCAGCGCGCCTAACGCAGGGGTCTGGTGGCTCGCACCCCTGGGCCTGGAACCGGCGGCCTCGCACGACGACAGCACCAGCGCGAGAACAGCGCTGCTACGGGAGGACGCACGAGGACAGCACTAGGACAGCACGAGGACAGCACAGGCGCGAGGACAGCACGAGGACAGCACGAGGACAGCACGAGGACAACACTAGCACGAGGAGGGGAAGGGGCGCCGAGGAGGCGCGCCGAGGAGGAGAGGCGAGGCCGAGGAGGAGGAACGCCGAGGAGGAGCGCCGAGGAGGAGCGGCGGAAGTGGAGGAGGGGGAGGCCAAAGAGGAGCGCCGAGGAGGAGCGCCAAAGAGGAGCGGCGAGAGCGGGCGGCGGTGGTGGCGGCCGGAAGCGGCGGCGGGGCGGCTCCAGAGGCGGCGGCGGACGGACCGGGGGCGGAGGGAGGAGCGGCGCCCGGCCCCGCGGCGGCGGGCGCGGGCGCGGGCGCGGGCGCGGGCGCGTGCGGGCGCGCGCGGCGCGGCCCGTGGCGAGCGCGGTCCGCCCCTGGGCCCTCCTCGGACCCGAGGGCCCTGGGGCACAGAGGAGGAGGAGGAGGAGGAGGAGGAGGAGGAGGAGGAGAGGGGGGGATGAGGAGGAGGAGGAGGAGGAGGAGGAGGAGGAAGAGGAAGAGGAATAATAATAATAATATGAATAATATGAGGAGGAGGAGGAGGAGGAGAAGGAAGAAGAGGAGGACGAAGACGAAGAAGAGGAGGAGGAGGAGGAAGAGGAGAGGAAGAGGAGAAGGAGGAAGAAGAAGAGGAATTGGAGGAGGAGGAGGAGGAGGAGGAGGAAGAATATCGAGCAAGAGGCGCGGGAGGAGGCACATGAGGAGGCGGAACACGGAGCCCAAGGAGGAAGTGAAGTAGGATAAGTAGGATGGATGACGATTCGCAGGAGAAAGAAGGGAACGAAGAGGAGGGGTAGGAAGCGGAGACTCCAAGGGAGGAGCGATGGAGAAGGAGAAGGAGGACGAAAAGCATACTGGAGGAATATCATGAGGTGGAGGCGGGAACGGAGAGGGAGGAGCAGGACGGGGGAGCAGAGGGAACGGGAATGGGCGCCGTCGTTGTCGTCGCCGAGGTCGTCAACCGTCGTTGTGCAAAGGGGAGGAGGCTCAGGGCAGGAAGCTCCATGGGAGGTCGTGCTCAGGGAAGCAGGCTCAGGGGGCCGGCGGCCGCGAGGACATGTGGAAGTTGAAGGAGGCGCATGCACAAGGCTGCTCGCCGCCCGGGACTTCTCATCCTCGTCATTTTTATCCGCATCATCATCATCATCATCACCATCACCATCACCATCACCACCACCACCACCACCATCATCATCATCATCATCACCATCATCATCACCACCACCATCATCATCATCATCTCAATCAGCTTCATCATCAGCATGACTGTCATCATCATCAGCAGCATCAGCATCATCAACAACATCGGTACCACCATCTCCATGGTCACCATCATCATCATAATCATGATCAGACTCATCATCATACTCATCATCATCATCAGCAGCAGCAGCATCACCAGCTTCAGCATCATCATCATCATCATCGACATCAACATCATCATCACCATACCCATCATCATCATCACCAGCAGCAACGTCACCCTCATCGTCATCACCACCACCATCCTCATCATCATCAACCGTCGCAGCACCAACATCATTATACTCATCATCACCACCACCATCATCATAAGCATTTGCATCACCATCATTATCAACATTAGCAGCATCACAATCAGCATTATCGTAAGCATCGTCGTCGTCCTAGTGATCATCATCAGCAGCATCATCATCAGCATCATCATCATCGGATACGCTTCCTATGCGCATTATATATCATTCGCCTATTCCGCTCCCCCTCCTTGTATACCCGTGCGCGCAGATTTCTGCGCAAGAGCTGCTCGGGAGGTTCGCACGAGCCCAGGAAACGCTGCCTAGGAGCTGCTTGCGCAGGCGCTACGGTCGAGCCCAGGAAGCGTTGCATAAGAGCTAACAAGACGTTGCCCGCGGGCCCAAGAATCGCTGCTCAGAAGCTGCGAGCGGGCCTAGGCAGCGATGCCTGGGAGCTGGCCAGGCGCTGCCCACGAACCTAGGAATCAATGCCACCGAACTGTCTGGGAGTCTAGGAGCTGCGCGCACCCTGCAGCACTGGTCCCCCCTAGTATTGGCGGGCGATCTCAGAAGGGCGTTGGCCTTCTGGGAAGTGGTTTCGGAGAAGGGTGGTCGGAGAAAGCTGGAGGCCTTGCAGCTCTGTCCCAGTATTCCTTCGCGCCACAAGCCGCAGCCACCCCGCGTGGGCAAAGGTGGCCCAGAGGCGACGGGTGGCGCCTCCAGCAGTGCCAGAAAGAATATTGGACCGCAACGTATCCGCCGACCACGTGTGAAGTAACGCGGATGTTGATCGACCGTGCTTCAGGCCATGCGCCGCCGAGGTCTGGGGGGCGTTACTCGGAGGAGGGGGGGGAGGAGGATCGGGACGATCGAAATGGGTACGGAAAGAACGTGCACAAAGACCAACAGCAGTTCCTGTTCATTTTGATCCGGACTCGCTGTCGGTGTCGCTGCGGCCGATGCCCACTTCAGGCAGAAGGACGCCTACCCAACCGCGGCCGCTGTTGGTTTGGGACAGCATGTCATGTGCTGTTGGGCACTGTACTCATTTCTTCCGTATCCATGTCGGGCGTCCAACAGAGGAGAGGGAGGGGGGACTGGAGCAACAAGTGCCTCCGCCCTCGATCGGGCGGCTGCAGAGGAGAGGCTTGGCTCGGCCGAGCCTTGAGGCGCAGCCGACCGCCTCCTGGCCGCCCATGGCTGCCAGCCACCCTGCGGTCTGGCCGCCCCCCCGCCCCCCAAAGGGAGGAAAAGCAGGAGGGGGAGAGAAGAGGACGAGGACGAGGACGAGGACGAGGACGAGGACGAGGACGAGGACGAGGACGAGGAGGGGGGTATCAAGGAGGCAAAGAAGCAGGCACCGGGCGGGACACGGGGGCGGGGGCGGCCGTCGGGGCAAGGCCGGCCAAAAAGAAGCGTCGACTGGGCTGCAGCGGCGGGGGATGGCGCGGAGGAGTCGTGGGAGGTGTTGACGGAGGCAGCCGGGAACAGCGAGGGCGGCGGCGATGACCATGGGAGGGTGGACTGTCGCGCTGTCGCTTGGGCAGCCAGGGCCCCTGCGGGTAATGCTGCCCGCCCGACCAGAGCCCGTCAACCCCGCCCGTGGGCCCCAGACCCCCGACGTCAGCTCGTCATGACGTCGACCCCCAGACGTCTCGATCCCTTCCCCGGGACCAGGACTTCATTCTGACTCGTTTTTTCTGACGGTTCCGAGGCCCGTTTTCATGACCCCCAAGGGGGTCTGGGGCCGGGGGGTCCCGCTCGTCGCCTCCTCCAGAGGCAAATAGGGAGGGAGGGGGGGGGGCGCAAGACGCCGCCAGCGGCTCACGCGGCGTCAGCCGCGGACGCCGCCGTGGCCGCTGCAAGGCGCGCAGCAGCTTCCCCGTGGACGGCTGCAGCCGTTTGAAAGTCCTGAGATCCAGGCGCTGCAAATTGTTGTACACCAGGCGTTCTCGCTTGGTTTCGGGCCACGAGTCCCTCGCATATTGATCCGCGTCGAAACTTGACGCAGAGGATGGCTTCAAGTCTAGGGCTCTCGTCGCGGTTTCTCGCGATGTTGCCATTTTTTCGCAACGTCGGATCTCAGGGACGCCACCAGGGAGGCGTCATCCCAGGCCACGGGTCCCCGGTGACGTCCGCCACCCGCCTGGCCAAGATCGCAGACAGCTCTTTGGGCCTCGCGCCCGCACCGGCCACCGTGGGCCGGCATCGCCGCGGAGATGGAGTCCGGGTGTTGCCGTCGGAGGCCTCGCGCCGCGCAGAGGCGGTCGGTGTTCGGGTGTCGCCGTTGGAGCTCCGCGTGCCGCTCCGCGGCCCCGCCGGCGGGCGCCGCAGGAGCGGCGAGGAGGTCGGCGCGCAGCCAGGAAGTGGTGGCGAAGTCCCAGGCGTAGGTCGGGCATGTCCCACTACAGGAGGAAGTTTCTAGAATGGTAGAGATATGGTCTGGGGACGATGTTTCGCACTCTTCTGACCATGTCTGATGTTTGCTGACAATGTTTTTATGTTCTTCCAAAGCCCGCCTATGGGAGGATACGCTCGACCTGGTCCCAGGCTGCTGCCACCCAGTTGTGCCACGTGGGCCGGTGTGCGTCAGCGAAGGCGCTCGTCGCCATCGTCGAGGTGCTGCCCGTCCTGCTCGCCGCTCGGAGGCCTTGCGTCGGCGGCGCGCGGCGGCTGGAGCCCTGGCCGCTCCAGCTCGGCCCCCGCGAAGCGCTTGCGCGTCGAAGAACCCTTTGGTGCCGGAGCGCGTTGTTTACCGGCCTGGAACATATCCCTATCCCTATGCTGGGCACCTCCTCATCACGATGCCAATCTTAGGGATTTCCTTACTTTTTGAGGGCGAATCCCTAAGATTGTCATCGCCTTTTGGCGTGTCGATCTTAGGGATAGGGATACGTTCGAGGCTGGTGAGTTGTGGCGTTACGTCGGACCGCGGCCAACGCAGGCCACGGCGTGGTCCAGGCACGCGCCCAGCACCCGTCCGCAGGCGGAGCAGAGTCAGGAGGGAAAGAAACACACAGACACAATGAATCGTCGAGCGCCAGGAAAATATAGGAAAATATGGGAATTGGGCGGGAAGACAAAAACCCAGAAAATATGGGAAAATATGGGGAATATCTTTATTTGTGTGTATTTATTTGTGTGTCCTGGGGCCCCTTCACAGAGGTCCTCCTCCGGGTCGAGGACGTGCTCATGCCGCCTTCCCTGGTGTCGGAGGTCAGGTAGGGCGGGCGATTCTGTCCGTCGCCTGGGGGCCCCGTGGCCGCCTCCTCGCCCCCCTCCCCTCCTCATCACAAGTTCCCCCATTGTCCCAGGCGGGAAACGATTTCAGTTTTCCTTCCCTATCATCCCATCCCCCTCGCCGCTTCGCAGGAAACGCACCTGAGTGGCTCAAACACTCCGAAGCTATAGCACGAGTTCGCATGGCGGGGATGATCGAGGCAACCGCGAACATGCAGACAAACCTGCATCGGCAAACCGGTGAGGGTTCTGCTGTAGGTGAAAGCTTCAAGTCTTCGACTGAGCAGAGCTGATCTTGGCCCACGAAGTTTGGCGGCTCCCTCGCGGAGCGCGCACGATTCCGGCGCTCGCTTTGTCAGCTTCGTTTCGCTAAGGGACGCGCGGGCATTTGGCTTGCCTCTCCAGGAGCGCAGGCGCACGCCAAAACTGCACTGTTCAGTTCTTGCGCCTGGCCGTCGTCGCCACCCTTCCTCCTCCTCCTCCTCGTGCACTTGTTTCACGGATGCTGTGCATGCACGAGGCTATTAAAAAAATGTTTGGCTCGGGGTGAGGGGGATTTCGGGCGATTCTCGGATTTGGATGGCGGGGAACTTATACAGTCGCCGAGGCTCGCCGTGACTAGAGAAGCACGGTTGCTTCTGGCACGGCAGGTTTGTGTCATGCCAGCGCGGCGGCGACCACGCCGCGGGCGTTCAAGGCTGAACGCTGCATTGGCGCACGTTCGACCGATACGGAACGATCCAGCGGTCGATCGGCCGCCGATGTTTCAAACTTGAAAGATCCGCGCGGTGTCCGAAGCCGGCCCACGGGTCGTCACGACACGACTTTGTGGTCGCAGCTACGGAGGCACAGCGCATGGCCCCACGCGGGCGTGAATTCTGCCCCGCGTCGAGAGGGGCCGCGGAGGAGGAGGAGAAGGAGGAGGAGGAGGAGGAGGAGGAGGAGGTGGATGACGAGGAGTAGGAGGCGGAGGAGGAGGAGGAGGAGGAGGCCGGAAGGGGGGAGTTGGAGGAGGAGGGGGAGGGGGAGGGGGGGAGGGATGTTTGAGAGTTCTTGGTGGTTCTCTGACGGTTTCGTGTTTGTCCAAGTGCTCCTCGAAATCCCCAGAGACTGATTGGTGGAGCGGGAGGAGGAAGCAGGGGAGGAGGAAAAGGACCAGGTAAAGGAGGAGGAGGACGATAAGGGAAAAAAGAAGGAAAAGAAGGAGGATGAGGAGGAGGAGGAGGAGAAAAAGGGGAGATTTGAGCTAACCGCGGGCGGCCTTCAGGGGCGGGAAGAGGGACGGCCCCCTCCCCCTCTCTCCGTTTTGTGCTTCTCCCTCCGCCAGGGAAGGTGCAAACACGGCGAGGAAAAAACGGCAGAGGATTTCGCCTTGCCATCCTCGAGCCCCCTCTTGCCCTCCTCCCCTCCCCATGGGCGCTGGGAGACCACGGCGACTACGCGGACGGCGACGACGACGACGGCGTCGGCGACGACGCCGACGACGGCGACGCTGGTGGCCACGACGGCGACGGCGACGCAGACGACGGCGACGGCGACGGCGACGACGGCGCTGTTGCGCTGCGGCCGCGGCCGCCGCCGCCGCCGCCGCCGATCGAGCGGTGAGGCTCGCTGGTGCGCTTCCGGCAGTTCCAGAGCACGACGTCCAGCAGAACCAGGGCCATCAAGTTCCGCCACAGGAGCGCCCCGGGAGTTCTGTCTCGGTCTGTGCAGGGGGGAGCGCTTCTCGTCAGAGGAGCAAGAGGTCCCCAGCAGCGTTAGGGGGGGAGGCGCTCGAGGTTCGAGGTTTCTTCCCAACCATCCTGTGGTGTTGGGTCCTCGTTTTGAGGAGACAGCGCCACGCGTTCCTTCCTTCCTCTTCTTCCCCCCCTGCTCCCATCCCTGCTTCGCCTCTGTTTCGGCACACCCCTCACAGGTTTCGTGGCCCCCCCCATAGGGAGCTCCACCGAAGGTCCCACTGGCGAAGTTCGCATGTGGGCGTCACGCCCGTGTCGGCACACCCCTCACACGTTTCGTGGTCCCGTGGGGAGCTCCACCGAAGGTGTCAGTGCTGCAGTTCGCATGTGGGCGTGACGCCGGTGTCGGCACACCCCTCACACGTTTCGTGGTCCCGTGGGGAGCTCCAGTGTCAGTGCTGCAGTTCGCATGTGGGCGTGACGCCCGTTTCGGCACACTCCTTACACGTTTCGTGGCCCTACAGGGAGTTCCACCGAAGATCCCAGTGGGAAGGTTCACATGCGCCCCCTCCCTTCCCAAATCGGCACGCCCGTCACACGTTTTGTGGCCACGTAATTAGGGAGTTCCATCGAAGACGATCCTCACAACTGCGGCACTCACAATTGCATATGATTGGGTCTTTCGCCAGGTTGATCAAAGTTTTCGCCGGTCCTCGAACTTTTTCCAGCCTCGGAGTGCTCTCCAGCAGTTGCGCCTCGCCGAGAGCGTTCTGGTGGTGACCGAATCGTACCGAACAGCCGCTGGAGAGGCGCGATATGGTTCGAAAG